CTCACCATTTTTTTAGTAACTATGTATCTGACTAGGTCGCGTGTCACACATAGAAGAAGTTACTTCACTTGTAAGGCTACTAAAGATTGCTTCAAATTCAGGACTAAGCTATTATTCAGGTCGCATGGTACCTTATGAGATGACTACTTCACTATTAAGTTTCCAATAAGGGTGGTTTGTTAGACCACGTGTCATGCGATAAGAGAGTTACTTCAAGAGTAAGAGCACCCATCCAACAGTATAAATAGGGGTCTCCTACCCCAAATCAGGGATTCAAATTTTCATTTTCTCAATAGCTAAAGAGCAACTTTCTCTCTTGAGAAAGAATATCTCTTGTAAACACATCAATAAAATAATAGTAGACGTGAGATTTGTGTCTTGCATCTGAACCATTTTAAAAACTGTTTTTGTCTATTCTTTTTATTTATTTACACGCATTATCGTTATAATTACTCATTATTTAGCATCATATTTCACGGTCTTGCACAGGCCCTTTGCGCGAACTCACCCAGAAGGCTCACATACTTCTTGTTGGTTTGAAAAATTGCAACAATAATTGAAAACAAGGTGTAGGAGTATTATTGTGACAAAAGGAGTTCGTCAGAAGAAAATTGATGCAGAAGATGTCAAAGAGTAGGAGATGACAAAGAAGTTCGCATAGGAAGTGAAAGGGAACTGTAGAGGATGCAAAGAGTAACAGTACAGAAGAAATAGAAAATGGAACAGAGATATATATGTATAGGGGTAGAAAAATTGTACTTTGAAAAATAGATCTCATTTCTCTAAAATTTTCTCTCGTTTTCTATCTTGCCAAACATATGCCATCTTTCTTTTTTCTTGCAATATCTATTGAAGATTTCTAGCACCTTCAAAAGGTTAGATAAACCCTGCAAATAACAAAACAATCAACATATCTTTTAAGGCAATGGCAAAGATATGAAATTTATTTGCTGTGAGATCTGAAAATTCATATCAAAGGGCACTCGATATGAAAAAGAATCGAGAGATTTATGTTTTTTTGTTTAAGCTATTCTACTCTGTTATCAAGAGCAGAATGTTATTTCAATTTATAAACCATATATACAGTATTTGGTAAGCCTACAAGTGCGACATTATCTCATAAGGCAAAAGTAAAGATAAAAACGTTATCATGAAACAAACTCTAACAACTCTTAAAAGTCATCCTAGTTCCTTGATAATTGAAGTTTCATCAACTCAACAACATCGTATCATCATCAATCATTCCCCCCCAAACTTAGGGGACGACTGAGAACAATGAGCTTATGTCATAGAATTAAAAAACTGTAAGAAGTGCCTTTGTCATAATATATCTGCTAGTTGTGTGTCTGAAGGAGTAAATTGAACGTCTCCCATATGTTTGCCCTACACATTCTCTCACAATAATTTATTTCCACATGTTTATTACGAGCATGAAGAAATTGATGTGCTGCAAAGTGCGTTGCTCTCTTACTATCACACAGTATAGGAACCACCTTTTGCTTAGTTGAAGACGAGGATATCGAATTTGAACTAAGAAACACAGAATGTCCACTAGTAATATTTCAACGATTATCTGGGCAACTTGCCCATCAGCATCAGTGTATATTACAAGCTTTAAAACTAGATCCTTAAAAGTAAATGATGTTTCTAACAATAATGCTACGAACACCAACGCTTTGCAGCCGAATGATGTGTCACCTGAGTCAGACGAGTACATAGCACGTTAAGAAATATTTCGCGAATGAACGGTCGTCCATCAAATATGGACGGGCGTCCTTACTTATTGGATGGGAGTCCACCTATAAGGACGCCCGTTCATAGTTTAAATTAAAAAAAAAAAAAAATTGATAACAAAAATCATGGACACCCGTCCATAATATATGGATAGGTGTCCCCATTAGATAGATGTCCGTCCATTGTTTAAATTAAAAACAAAAGCAATGGACGAGCGTCCCTCTTAGATGGACGCTCGTCCATTTCCGTCCATTAAATAGGGACTCTGCTCTACAACAGAATCCCCTCTTTCCTGCAATGTTCCTTCTATTTTCTTCTTCTAAACTCATATTTCTATTTACTTTCAAACACAAACACAAAGTAAATAGAAGTTCATCACTTGAACAACATACATCAATGCAGTCAAAGGGTCCACCACCTGCAATAAAAAATTAAAGTAAAGAAACAGGTGCCATGCATACATCAACGGTCAAGGGGTCCACCATTTGAAATAAAAAATAAAATAAAGAAACAGATGTCATGTTCACAGACTTTGGCTAAAAGAATGAGATTGCTTTTGCTTTTAAATTTTTTTTAATTGAAACAATGGACAAGCGTCCATCTAATAGGGACGCATATCCATTAAGTAAGGACGCCTGTCCATAATATTTAGACAGGTGTCTATGATTTTTGTTATCAATTTTTTTTTTAATTTAAACCATGGACAGGCATCCTTATAGGTGGACTCTTGTCCATTTCAAATGACCAACCGTCCAATAAAAATGGACGGTCGTCCATATTTGATGGACGGTTGTTCATTCACGAAATATTACTTAACGTGCTTCATGGCTCGTCTGACTCAGGTCACACGTTGTTCGGTTTAATATTTTAGTGCAAAGCGTCAGTGTCCGTAGTATTATTCTGTTTCTAAACCACTTATCAACTTATGTACTAATACATTATGAGTCCCTATGACAATTATATAATCGATAAAAACAAGAAGCACAATAATCATAATTTTATTAGTTTCAAGAATAATTTAGATTTATAGGTGGTAGAAAATTCAATGACAGGTAAACTTGTGGGTACACTAAATATGGATTAAACCCACTTAAACTCGTTATTTTGCAATCTCTCTATAATTCTATCCTTTCATTGTCCATCCATACATTGCAATTTGCAGTATCATCGCTTACAACTTATATATATATATATATAGATATATATATATATATATATAACACAATCTCCTCCTTCTTTTGGGCACTAATATGTTAAAAATTTTAGTTGTATTATATTGTAGTAATAACGTATAACAAAACTATTTTTGGGTAATCGAGTGGTTTGATAGAGACTCTTGAGTGTATTACTCAATAGGCAGTTCAAGCCTCCTTGGTTGCCAATGAGAATAGTCACTGAAGCTCTTACCCAATTGATAATTTCAGGGTTCTAAGAGATTAGTTGAGGTGCACTTAAACTAGCCTGAATATTCTCGATCATAATAATAAATAAATAAAAAAAACCCTATAACAATATCTTTTGCTTTTAACCTAAGATGATATAATTATATTCATAAATATTACAAATTTTATCCCAACTGATAATATTTTAATTGATAGTATAGAAAAATTTATCAGCACCATGTTAAAAATTACAACAATAAAGATTAACTTACAACTCAAACTCACAAATCTAATGTGATAGCTCGCAATTGGGAAGACTATACCCATTGTTGGATAGACGAAATTCATTGCAAGCTAACCAATTGTGAGCTAATAGGTCGAGATTGTAAGAGAAAATTCATGAGATTGGGTTATAAACATATAACCCAAATTACACATAAGGGGCATTTAGATCATATAATGTTTTATTATATGGGTATATTATATTAACGGAAAGAAAGATCATATTGAAGATTACTGGGAATGTTTAGAAAATGTGTTTAGTTGGTTCGAATAAATTGGTAAATAATATGTTGGTTGGAAGGATAAATGAGTGGGTATGTTACATAGATTACTAAATTGCCCTTCTTTTTAAATATTAATATAATAGTATTTTTTATTATTATTATTTTTAACCCTTACATTTGAAATTTTGCTAAAACACTCTAGTCATATAAAACTTTAATTTGTAACAAAATCACCCCCACCCACCCCAAGCCACTGCCGACAGCTAGCCACCACCGTCGGTTGCTGCCAACAGTCGATGGAATAGAGCACGACTAGTTGTATATGGTTGATCGTGCACCGGCAAAGCCGAAAATAGCCATGGATCACAAATCCATGACCGAAAAACGGTAAGATCTATGGCTATTTCATGACCAAAGATGTGGTTATGTCATTTCAAGGCCAAAGATCTGGCCTCTTCACAGCTAGATTTGTGGTCGTTTGACGACCACAGCTTTAACTGTGAAATGGTCATAGAAACGCCAGATCCAGCCGTTTTCAGCCATGGATCTGGCCTTACCGGAGCATGACCGACCAAATCCCACTGGCCATTACGGCGAATGACGCTGGCAGTCGACGGTGGTCTTAGGTAGCTGGAGGTATTTTGTTAACTTTTAAACTTCTTGTAGTTAAGATGTTTTAGCTAATTTCTCAAATATAAGGAGACTAAGTAATTGTTATTTGGCAAATATTTAAGGGCAATTGTGTCTGAAATAATTTTTAATTAAGGAAAAAATTGGTAGAAAAACCAGATTACCTCAGTAATATTTTAATAACACCCCTTAATAAGATAATAAGATTATCTCTCATATTAGCAATAATAAATATTATTTGTAATAAAAAATTATCATAATACTTTATTACTTATAAACTAAATATCGAAGTCTTATAAAATAAATCAAGATTACCCTATTATCTTATATTAATCTGATCCAAATGCCCCATAGGGTACTCCCTCTTCCGTGGCAGAATTTTCCTTGATTAAATTATTGTTTTTAATTTACCAAAGAAAACAACGGGGGTTAGCACGCCATACCAGCGGAGTCTAAATAAACTTCACCACCATAATCCCAGCCACACGTGTCCAAACAGTGGCCCACCGATTGTCTTTTCCAGTTTCCAGAGAGTAAAACGGGCCCAGCACACATAATTAAATTGAAAAAATAATTTGATCTCACCCGCTCGATCAACTGGAAACAAATCCAACAGCCCAAAACGAACACTAGAATCTTCTCTTCTTCAACTCTCTTTATATATATACAAGTCCTTTTCGCGCTCTACTGCATAGTCTAGAAACTAGCTAGAAAGGCTCGTGTTCAACTCGTGACGTTTCAGTGATCGCAGTTTACAGTACACAAGAATTCTCTGCAGCTCGTGATCAACTAGGTATCAGTTTTGTGTTCAATTTGCTTTTCTTTTGTATAGTTTGATCGTGAAAATTTGAGATGTTTGATTGAAAATATTTTAGAGATATGGGGAAGTGCTACCCAACAGTGAGCGAGGAGTACCAGAAAGCGGTGGAGAAATGTAGGAGGAAACTGAGAGGACTTATTGCCGAGAAGAACTGTGCCCCGATCATCTTACGTTTGGCGTAAGCTCATTATCTGTATATTTGCGAATAGATGGATGGATGGATGTTCATGATTTCATGTGCATGGTAAGATAATTTCTTTTTGTGTTGCAGATGGCATTCAGCAGGAACCTTCGATGTTCATACGAAGACAGGAGGGCCGTTTGGGACGATCAGGCATCCAGATGAGCTAGCTCATGAAGCTAACAATGGTCTTGATATTGCTGTAAGGCTTTTGGATCCTATTAAGCAGCAGTTTCCCATTTTGTCGTATGCGGATTTCTACCAGGTATATGTCTATATTATCAAACTGTCAGTGATGTTTATATTTTGCTCCATTCATCTATCGTTACTTCGTAAGGAGTGGTGCTGTGGTGCTTAATCAATTTTGGTGTCTGTTTACTTTTTGTAAAGTTGGCCGGAGTTGTTGCTGTAGAAGTTACTGGAGGGCCGGAGATCCCTTTCCACCCTGGAAGACCCGTAAGTGAAATTTTCATATTCTCTGTGTTTATTCTTTGCCGTTGGAATTCGCGGTTAATACATGTTTTGATTTAACTGTAATATATGTCATTTAATATTTGTTGATACTCACATGTTACTAATTCAGTACTTAAGAAGTTCGATTTTATATAGCTAATAGGAATGAATAAGGAATTTAATGAATTAGCTGAGAGCCTATGAAATTTGGGCTTCTGAATCTCTGATCAGCCTGATAGGAAGAGCTAGCTCTGTATGTAATGCTTATGGTCAAGCAGGCTGGAATTTGTTACTCATTTAATGCTAGAAAAATAATCAATATTTGCATACCTTGGGGAGAATTGAAGTGAACTAAACATTGGGAAGGAGAAGGGTCCTGGGGACAGAACAATCAGGAAAGTGAATGAATGAGCGCAATGGGAATACTAGGATAATACTCATGGCAGCTGTTTGCGTGACTTAAGAAACACAGTATACATCTCAATGCCATTGCATTTTCTTCCATCTATTATTGTTACTCTTCGTGTGCTTTGATGCTAAATTTGGTTTCGTCTTCTCCTAATTTGATAGATAGTCTTGCTTAAATCTTCTCATATGCCTACTTTTAGTACAAGACTACTGGATATGTCATATGGTTTAAACTCTAAACAAAGCCAACCTAACTACCTAAGCCTGTATTTCTTTTCTTATCATAGTTTTTCTAATAAGTTTTAAAATCTCATATTGCAGGACAAATCAGATCCACCACCAGAGGGTCGCTTGCCTGATGCCTCTAAAGGTTTCTTAGTTTACTCAAGTTCAAACTGTAAAAGATGACCACTATGTTTGAGTATCTTCTAACAAATTGAATGGCATTACCAATCTGCTGTTGCAATTTCAGGTTCTGACCATCTGAGGGATGTCTTTGGCCACATGGGTCTGAGCGACAAGGACATTGTGGCATTATCTGGGGGTCACACCCTGGTCTGTTGACAAACAATGGAATACATTCCGCTATTCATTTATGAGCCTTTTCTTTTTCTTTTTTCTTTTTTTTTTTTTTGAAAATAAAAACATGATACATAGTTTTTAACTTTTAACTTGTACTATTGGCGGTGTTACAAATTCTGTTACAGGGAAGGTGCCACAAGGAGCGATCTGGATTTGAGGGAGCCTGGACTACCAATCCTCTCATTTTTGATAACTCCTATTTCAAGTAAGCGTGTATATCAATTCTGTTCTTTCTCAGTAAAAGTTCATGGTATTTATTCAATTTAATGCTCCACAAACCATTGCTATTAGAAGCTAAGGCAAGACCTTTTTGTACCAAGTCTTGGTGCTTCCTGGATATATAGACTGAGAACAATGCAATTAATTAATTAATGTGAATTCATATTTTTGTTTTGATAGGGAATTGCTTAGTGGAGAGAAAGAAGGGCTAATCCAGCTGCCATCAGACAAGGCTCTGCTAGAGGATCCCGTCTTCCGTCCCCTTGTCGAAAAATATGCTGCAGTGAGTATACATATAGTCACATATATAATTTACAGATTACCTTGTGACTACTAAATGATTCTTAAATGGAACTTTAATGTTGCGATGTCTTTGCTTCAGGATGAGGATGCCTTCTTTGCCGATTATGCTGAAGCTCACTTGAAGCTCTCGGAGCTTGGGTGAGTGACATTTAACAAACCCCTCTTAATAATTTCTACCCTTCAAAATTTATACCATTCCATATTGGCTATATATACTTCCTCTTTGAATATTGACTTGTACATCATTTTTCTTTTTTTCAGATTTGCGGATGCGGAGTGAGTGGTTGTGTTCTTGTAAATATTTTGAAGGAGCTGCAAAATAATTTATTTATGAAAAAGTTTCCAGTTTTCTGTCTATGTGCTTGCTCTTAAGCTGGTGATTGTGATGCAATTAACTGTCACATTGATATATGGTGTGTGTTTTTGAGTCTATGCAATGATGTAATGTTGTGACTGAAATAAAAATAATCTTATTTTATCATAAATTATTTGTCCATGTACAGGTTTAAAATGCTTTCTGTTTGGCTTTACCTGAGTTTGTTTCAGTTTTGGGAATACTACTTTTAGTATTCCCAAAAAAGTTAAACAGTAAAATACCCAAAAACTCAGGGCTCCGTTTGGTTCAAAATTTGGGGGTTTTGGGAAAAGTTTTTTGAAAAAAGTTAAAAAAAAGTTGAATTGGGCGGGTATTACGATGTAGAATTTATAAATTAATAAAATATCTTTTATGTTTATTTTTTTTATAAAATACCCCTTATAATAAAACATTAAAAGTTAACAAAAATATCCTTAATCCACCCTCAAACACCCCCAGTCGACGACAACCACCGGAGGTGGTCGGAGTCACCGTATGGGCGCATGATCGGTTGGATCTTGCTAGTCTTGCGTCGCTATGGCCTTTTTCGATCAGATCCACCGTGGATCTGGCCAGAAAAGGCCAGATCTGGCCGTATTTGCTCTCAACGACGGCCAACAAATGGTCGTCGTTAATGGTCAACGACGACCGTTTGTTAGCCGTCGTGACCGAGTGTTACGACCAAAGATCTGGCCGGAGAAGGCTAGATCGGCGCACTGTCGGTCAGATTCAACCGGTAGTGCGCCATCCTACCAGATTCTGGCCATTTTTCGGTAGTTCAACGACGACCGTTTGTTGGCCGTCGTGACCGAGTGTTACGGCCAAAGATCTGGCCGTCAACGGCCAGATCCACGGTGGATCTGGCCGGAAAAGGCTAGATCAGCGCACTACCGGCCAGATTCAGCCGGTAGTGCGCCATCCTACCAGATTCTGGCCATTTTTCGGTAGTTCAACGACGACCGTTTGTTGGCCGTCGTGACCGAGTGTTACGGCCAGATCCACAGTGGATCTGGCCGGAAAAGGCTAGATCGGCGCACTACCGGCCAGATTCAGCTGATAATGTGTCATCCTATCAGATTCCGGCCATTTTCCGGTAGTGGTGGCCGGAATCTGGTAAATGTGGATTGTTGGGGTGTTTTTGTAATTTAAAAAAAAANAAAAAAAAAAAAGTTGGGGGAGGTATTTTTGTTTTTTGGGCTTATAAGCACTTTGTTTATAAGCTAGTTTGATCAAGTATATTATCATATTATCCTTATTTAATTTTAAAATTTCATAGTATGTCATTGTTTAATGTAGTACTTTTTTTAGTAATTTTATAATAAAATATATTTATAAGTCATATTTTATCAAACACGTTAATTATTTATCAATCAATTACTTATCAGTCACTTATAAGTACATTAATCAAATATGTATTTGCTTAAAATTTTAAATGTTTATAAGTTAATTTTAGTTTATAAGCTGATTTTTATTAGTTTAGATAAACACCCCTTTAGTTTTCACTGTTAAACCAAATAATATTTCTGGAAATTCCCAGCAGTGGTGGCCTATTATTGTCAAATGATAGATTCACCTCACAGCTTAAATGGGTATATCCCGTGGGCTTAGGCTCTAACATGTGAGAGTTGAATGACCAGTTTTAGAGTTATATAAACCCAATTTATTCTCTTTTTTTAACTCAAATAATAGTTTTTTTTTTTTAAATTGTAATTATGAATGCATTAAGATTTAATTCGAGCTAAAAGAATGGCAACTAGAATTTCACCCTATAGAAAAAATAGATTTTGGGGTTAATAAAAAGACTTGAGGAAGAAAATATTAGAGAGGGGTAATATTGAAATAAAATATATTATATTTGTAAATTACATTTTAAAAACAATTTTAATTTTCATTTAGACTTAGAAAGAAACTAAATGAGGGTTAAATAAAACCACTCCTAGTTTCATTTAAGCGTCAAATGACATATATATTCTTATCAAATCTCTTTGTAGCACATAACCTAAAGCAAGTGAATTGGGCTTATGTTCAAACTCGAATATGGTTTAGGGAAGTGATTTTCAGCGACCATGTTGATATTGATATCTGACATTACTAAAATCTTTTTTATTGCACATATATAGGCTCTGTTTAGTTCAGTATTCTGATAGTTTTTAAAATAATCTTTTGAAAAAAGTTAAATTGGGCGGATATTACAATGTAGAATTTGGAAATTAACAAAGATATCCTCTATGTTTGTTTATTTACTAAACACCCCTATAATAAAATATTAAAAGTTAATTAAAAACATCTCCAACCCACCCATTAAATACGGACAGCTGGCCACCATCGTCGGAGGGTGACCAAAGTATTTTTGTAATTTCTAAAAAAAATATTTGGGGGTGTTTAGTTAAATTAACAAATTTAAGAGGTTTAAAAGAAATTGAAAAATATAAAATAATATTTTGGAAATAATGACATTTTACTGTTTAACTTTTTTGGGAATATTAATAATAGTATTCTCAAAAGCCAACCAAACGACGCCATATATATTCTCTCTCTAAAACCCTATTTAATACCGAAAAAACCCCTGCTTAATTAAGTTTTCTTTTTGTTTGCATCTATTTTCCCCAAATTCAAACTTAATTACTTTTTCTTTTTTTACACCCCTTTCCCAATTCAAACTTAATTAGATTTTTGTTTACTCTACTTTTCCCCAATTTTAAACTTAGTTAGGTATTTTGTTTATACCCATTTTTTTCAATTTCAAATTTGAAACTTACTTTTTTTTTTTCATCAAAATTAGATTCATCCCGTTATGTGATTACTTTCTTTATAGTTTAAATAATCTAAATTTATCAAACAAATAAATATCTGAATAATATATATATATATATATGATGTCATTTTTATTAAGGTTATACTAAAAACAAAAAACAACAAAAGTGAAGGATATATATCCATTTAACGGGGCTAAAAATCATTTCCCGACTGTTAATTGGTTTAGGGCTTTTATCGACTGAACTTGAAGTTTGCCAAATGACCCGTCTTCAAAACAGACTCACAGGTAAGCATGGACAATTGCAGTTCATTTTGTGGCCCATCATTTCATCAATATCTGTTTAACCATTGAAAAGAAAGAGTGATCAAATCTGTCTCCGTATATCAGGAAAATCTTCTGCTAGCAATTTGTATAGAAACAACTTAATAATCAGATTCTATTTATAAATTAATTCAAAGAACAGTGAGTCTACTATAACCCAATCTATCATTTTGAAGATGGGTCATTTGAAATTTTAAACTTCAGCATTTGAATGTTGAATTTGATGGATTAACTTCAAAATTCAAAATGTTTAATTTGAATTTGAATCAGTATATCATTCAATGCTTACCTATGAGTCTGTTTTGAAGATGGGTCATTTGGCAAACTTCAAGAACAGTGAGTATACTATAACCCAATCTATCATATTGAAGATGGGTCATAGCTGGAGCAGGCTGAAATTTTAACTTCAGCATTGAATGATGGGCAATTTCACAACTCTCGATGTGGTAGTTCGTAATTAATCAGTTCATAAATAAGTCCCATTTGCTCGTTATGGGTCCTACCTATCCAATTGCGAACTAACCAGTTAACAACTATTACATCAGAGTTATGAGAGATAATTTGTAAAATTGGATTGTAAGTTGATCTTTATTATTAAATTATTCTAACATTTGAAACTTTTTCTTTTTTTAAAAAAAAAAACATGCTTTACAATAAAAATGCTTTCCATACAAAAATTTAAAATACTTTAACAAAAAATATGCGTAGTTTTTTTCTTTAAAAAAAGAAATAAATATTTTATTTCATATTTTATTTCAATTAAACAATATTATAAAAATGCTTTCACACCCTGAAAACTCCTGGACCATCAATAATATTTTTTTAAACAATGAAGTCAACAAGAGGCGCCTTCTAAAACTTAGACATTAAGAAAAGCTCAATTGCATTACACATTAATTAATATATTTATAAATCACATAAAAAGAAAACCTAATGCACCAGATCCTGCTAATACCTATCTGTAAGTGTAACCAACATATGATTCGACTCAAAGTCCATCGTTCTCGAGTATAAAGAAAAGAAAAGAAAAGCAGAAGCATTAAAAAACGTGGAGAAATCACTTTCCTTTTTGAAAAGTTTAGACAAAGCTGTAACTTTGATAAAAGTTTAACCCTAAAATATTCCCACCATTGTCATTTCTAGCTGCAAACTTTCATAAAGTACCAAATAATGTTTAGATTATCTATGTGGTTGTAGGCTTCTTTTTCTCAACTTTGTTTTTAAAAATCCAATGTTAATATCCTCTTATTATAAAAATCTGTGTCCTGAATTTGTTCGGAGAGGACTTTCTGCTGAACCTAACACCATGCATTTCGGTCGTTATTTTCAGAAAAAGAATTAAAGTAGACTTTCAACTGTAAAATTAAAGCTAGAAGAGGAGCCGTGCGGGGAATAGGTTTACAAATCACGTTAAATAAAAATTATGAAACAATCTAGAGAGTAATACGAAGTCAAACAATAATAAATATCAAACTAGTAAAAAGAAAGAAAACACGCACGATTTATATGAAATATAAGTTATGTTTAACATAATCAATATTATTAGGATATTGTCTCGTATCTTTCGTTACAATGAATGTTTTTGTCTATGATTTGTTATCACACTTATACAAGAGAAAAATCTAATATCAGAAATCTTCTAATACCTCTGTCTTGCCTTTTATTGTTGAAGTGGTCGACAACTCTAAGAGATTATGTAATTATTGTTTTGGTTAGGCAATTTGACCAATAGTTTCCCTTTTTTTTTAATTGAGGATTGTACCATTTTACTTGAGCTTTTGAAATAATGCTAAGTAAAAGACAAAGCATGTCAATTATGGCATGACATAACAGACAGTTTTATGATAATTTAAAAAAATGCAAAAGACTTTGATTAATGGATGCGCCACTTATTAGGCATTAGAGACCACTTGGTAATTCAACAATACTTAATTTTCTTTTTGTTTTTATCACAACGTTTTGTCGGATTAATCCAGAAATAAATATTTAATTATTTATATCTTTTTATAATTTAAGCTGATTAAAATAGTTTGACCCGTTTAGAACCTCGGATACCCAAATTCTAATTCAACGTCAACTACTGGGTCCAAATTGCGAAGTTGGTAAAAGATTTCAAATTTTTTATTTGAATAATAATTGGAAAAACCTCAAGCCCACAAAACCATTGACCACCGTCAATGTTTAACTGCTTACCAAATACCATCTCCATGTCAGTCAGCCCTCGTCACTCTGTCAAAGGCACATGCACATGCACGTCTAAAATAAATTTAATAATTATATCAATTCCCATTTAACTCATATAATTTTGAACTGCTCAATAATGACACGGAGTTTTTTTTTTATTAAATTAAACCTTGGGTCCACATGTTTAAACCTAAATTTTATGATAATCCAATATATACATAAATAGCATATGTTAAAATATACAAATTTTAAAATATTAATGTATCAAAGATTTCCTTTTATTATACATAAATATGTATTATTCTATTTAACATTGAAGACTCAAGTTAACAAACTCCTAATTTTAATTTTTATAAAATTAAAGATAGACTAATACTGGGACTGGGCATTTTTATCTTACTAAAAAAAATATATATATTAACCTCCAAAACAATATATATTTTTTTTAATCTAAAAATATTAAGTTTTGACCCCACTCCTTTATAGCTTATAGTACCAACTACCATGATCATAAAATAACAATAATGTGAACGGTATCATAACAAATGTATCAAGTCAAACATAATATATGGTTTCATTTAATTGTTGTTCTTAAAACAATTGTACCACGCATAAATATTACACTTTCATTTCAATAAACTTTATTCATTTTCACAAAATTTATTTTATATATTCCATTCCACCCATACTTTGTTTAGTATGCAATTTTAAAGCACGAGGGCATTAGGTAGCCAATGTTTGGTAATTAATTTTATGTCAAAGACATAATATATAGTTTATTCTTTTATATAATTTTGACCATAATGACTCTCATTTGATTTAGTCTTTGATGTCGGTAAACATTATTCTATTGCTACTAATTTTATGATAGTAACTTTTGTCTATTGACCCCTTCATTTTGGAAAATTTCTCTCACTCCCTTCATGTTTATGCAATTAATTTTATCCGTATTATAAGGCGAGAAATACTTAATCACCCCCGTGTTTTCAGTCTACGGTTGTCTTGATCTTGTCGTTTCAAATACTGGGAAACTCATCCCGGTTTAAACTGACGTCAATCAAAACTGTTAATTTTCTAAATCAAAACTGTTATATTATAGTAAATTTTTCTATAACTATGACAGTCAAATATGTCCTTTTTTACTGTATGCCACGTGAAATTAAAATTTGAACTTTCAAAACAAAATTTAAATTACCTTTTTAAAATAAATATATTCATTAGATGTCAAAATAGTTAATTAAGAATTTGTCTTTTAAAATAAATATAATTAATTAAATTTAACCCCAAGAGGTTACTCTGACGATTAAGGAGGTTTACTCCTTTAATTGAGTTATTGAGTTTTAACTTTAGAGTTACCTACCATATTATAACTCATTAGTCTTTTGGACTTGTACGGTGTTCAATAGACCTTGAGGACATCTCAGTTATAAAAAAAATAAAAAATAAAAAATAAAAATAAAATTGTGAAACTTGTAAGGATGATAATTATTTTACAACCTTTTTTATTAAACTTGTCTTTATTAAAATGATTATCACATTGAATTAAGTTATCGAAAATTGAGGATAGAATTACACACTTTATTATGATAATCATTTACTCACTTTATATCTTCCCTTTAGCGTGAGAGGAGGAAACTTCCTTGCCTTAGGATTCTTCAAACGAATAATAATGGAAAGATCTTCTTTTTATCATCCTTTTTGTTGTGTTGTGTTCCATCTCAGAATCATTTTCACCAAATTCTTTGGGATATACAAGAGTTTGAATTTGCACTTCAACGACAATAACCACCACTAAAGAATGTGTCAAAACTCATTATAAATCGGGAGTTGACGTGTAAACTATCCAGAGAATCTGTCTACAAAATAATTATAGCTGAATGCAAGGGTCGGAAAAAAAAATATTTTCACCCAAAACCTTCAACAAGCGCGTGCTTCTGTATTTCAAGGTTTTACCATGAATTTTCAAGTTCAATTATCGGTGTACTATTTAATTGAGTATGAATTATATTTTATAATTTTAATTGTAATTCTTGTAAGATCAATAATAAACCAATTTGATATTGGGTGTTATATATGAATTTGAAAGAATAAAAGATGCTTTGACATGTTATAATGCAATGAAACTTCTCCAATTTTAATTACCTTTGGATAGTCGAGTGGTTCGATAGAGATTCTTGAGTGTATTATTCAAAATGTTTCGAGTTCGAGTCTTTCTTCGATTGCTAATAAAGATAGTCACTTAAACTTTTACTCGACCGGTAATTCTAAGGTTCTGAAAAATTATTTGAGGTACTCGTAAGTTGACCCTGATACTCCTCGTTATTAAAAAAAAAAAATCGCCAATCTCAAATAAACACAATATGTATTTAATTTTATTTTTTTTGTAGGCTTTATTTTTTACACAATTTATTATTATTATTATTATTAAATAAACTTTAGAAATAATTAAAGTAGTAAATGTTCAACGTGTTTTTTAAGGTTTTAGCTTGGTTTGTAAAGGCTATAATTTCACAATAAATTAAGTTGAGACAAATTTTAACTTTTATCAAAAAAAAAAAAAAAATTGATGACTAATAGTTCATGTGATTTGTTGATAAATGAAGATAAATAATCCAAGTGAGATTAAATCATTAGATTAAAAAAAAAAATCTCTTACCGAACGTTACGAGCGTGTGGTGCACTCGCCTTGATCGCAATTGAGCAAGGTTGTTAAGGTGATTACGGGAGCTAAAGTTGTGAACAGCGTTGAGAGTGGTGAAGCCGTGAAGGTGATAGTTTTGATGTGAAATCGCCCTGTTGCAAAAGCTAGTGGTGGGATCCACTACCACGACACGCCCTTACTCATCCTTTGATGATCGAATCTCATCCCTTTGATTTTAATCAAAATCCCAGAAGACTCCAGCTTCTTTATCATTCTGTAGTGGGACCTACCCTCTCACTGCCGGTCCCCACTCACTCCCCAATGAGTAGAAGAGCGAATGAAAAGACTCCTCATTCTTCACAATCTCTTCGAAACTCATGACTTCAACTCATTCATTTTCTCTCTGCTATTAATCCCTCTTTCTTCCTTTGCAATGAATATAGTTGAAGGCTCTTTCAGCAGGAGTCGTCTTTAGTGACTCAGTTTCAGTGGCAGCAGGTGCCGTTTCTGCTAGTTGCTTTATTTTCTGTTCAAAGAATTTACTTTTTTTAGGCTTCTTTACCGCTTTTTAATGCTTTTATTTCATCAGCTTCCGTAGTGAATCAGTTGACGACACGAGATGGAGAGACTACTTTTGTTGTTTTTGTTTCTGATATTTGATGTTCTTCTCATCTTCAACAACTCCGCAGCTCAGAGGCCAGGTTTGTGTATATATATACATTCGTATTTATGTATAAGTATTCGTATTTCTATGAACAAGCACGTCCATTTCTATCATTTTTATTTTTCATTTTCTTTTTACTATTATTGTTATGCTTCGTTCCTTTTTTTTTTTCTAAATAAATATTTAGATATGCATGATTGTTCGGGAATTCGTTTGTTTTTGTTTTAGTTGAGATTCTTGATTTGTTCTGTTTTCGTACCGATTTTGAGCATTTAATGTTACTGGTATTATATTTATTTCTTTTTGCTTCTGGTAATAGATACTAACTGTTGTTGAAGTTTCTGACTTTTGACGAAGAGAGTAAGTTTCTTGGTCTATTTTGTCATGTTCTTGTTGACAAACCATGGAGAATTTTTCTTATACCACCTCTCCCGTGTAATGTGCAATTAATAGCCCAAAAATGAACAGTAGAAGCTGCGACAGTAACTATATAAATACAGAAACTTGTGGGCGCCATGATTTGCTCCTCTCTTAAATTACAATAGTTTTTTCAGAAACTTGGAGGCTGGTGCAGATTTAGAAACTTGAAAATGCTGCATATTGTTATCATAATAGTCTGGAACCATCAAGAACTGTCAGGTTATAGCTCAATTAACAGGACACTAGATATCAAAATTCGATAAATTTGTGGGCCAAATTCGAATAAGTTTAGTTGGAATTTTGTGGTTTTTAACAATCAAAAGCATTCACTGGAAGGCTAAGGCCTGTAATTGCTGAGTGTGTTTGAACCCCTGCTCCCTTTCCCATTGCCCACTCTCTTGATTTTGTGATATCTACTAGCCTTAATATGAAGCAGGTCAAAATATCACTACTATATTAATGCATTTTTTAAAATATCTGTTTCATTAAAATTAAACTGATATAAAGGAGTTGCATGACGTGTTTCTCTGTTCTGCTCTTGAGTTTGTTTTTCCATACATTAATGCATATAACAGGATTTTATTGATTTTTTCAAGAGAGGCATAATTGGCATATAATTATTAGCTGTTACATTTAAAGTTAAGATTGTGATTCACTCTTGCAAAGTGGCTGGAATCTAACTTGATTTGGGTGGCCTTATGTTCTAGACTGTTTCTTCATCAACCAAAAAAAAAAAGAAAGTAAAGAAGATTCCTCTCTTATATTTCCTTTGCTTAAATGTCTAATTTGCAATATTAATATTGTTTGATTAATTCGTAATCATCAGAGGAAGATAGAGACATGATCGACATTTTAGTCTTCAATATATATGCTTTCTTGTGGCCTATATTGATCTACTAAGGTGTGCTCTATTCTTCCCATTCTCAAATTTTGATTTTGGCTGATGTTCACTAGAAACCTATGTTTTAAGTGGTCTCTGCTAATTTTCATTTCTCTTGAAACATATCTGTAGATAACTGTCAAGGTTTCTTCCACTGCTTATCATTATTTCCTTTCTGAGGACATTTTTACTCTTCCTACCTCGTGTAATTTGTAACTCTAGTATAATTGGGAATAGCAGTTTCTGAATATAATGTCATAACAATGTCTAAAAAGCGAATCTTCAAAAGTTTGCATTTGTTCTACACCATCAAAAGTTTGCATTTGTTCTACACCAGTATTGCTAACACATTTGAAAATGTGAAACAGGTTTTGTGAGTTTGGACTGTGGGGGTAAAGGAAATTTCACTGATGAACTAGGACTTCAGTGGACTCCTGATGATCAGTTTTTGTTTGGAGAAACAACGAATATATCTATTGCAAATGAGACTAGGCAGCAATATTCGACACTAAGACATTTTCCTGCTGATTCTAGGAAGTACTGTTATCAGCTTCATGTTATTAGAAGGACTAGGTATCTCATAAGAGCAACATTTCTGTATGGTAATTTTGATAGCAATAATGTCTATCCAAAATTTGACATTTCCCTTGGGGCTACTCATTGGTCTACTATTGTCATTTCGGATACTACTACTATTGAGGTGCGAGAACTTATATTTTTGGCTTCAAGCCCTACAATCGATGTTTGTTTATCAAATGCTACGACTGGGCAACCATTCATTTCTACCCTTGAGCTTCGGCAATTCAATGGTTCAGTTTACTATACGCCATTTGAAGACCGCTTTTATCTAAGTGTTTCTGCTAGAATAAATTTTGGTGCAGATAGTGAAGCTCCAGTTAGGTATGCATCTGCTATCTGAAGAATGATATACAGTCTGATTTTTCATGTTTACATTTATCTTAATGCTTGTTTTAATAATTGGTAATGAAACACAAATATTAAAGATAAAAAAGAAAAGAGAATGAAGTTATTTGCTCTGTTATCCAGCTATGGTAATTAAACATAGATATTAAAAGTAAAAGAATAAATAAAAACGAAAAAGTTATTTAAGGCTCTGAAATCCTGCAATTTCAACCCTAATGATTTTAAAAGTTTAATTGAGAAATATGTGGTATTTATGGAGCTCTGGCATCCCAAGATAATTTAGTCATAAGAAAAGAGGATATTTATATGTATATATTTTTTTGTAACTTCAGGTATCCTGATGATCCATTTGATAGAATATGGGAATCTGATTCTCTGAAGAAAGCAAATTACCTTGTTGATGTTGCTGCTGGCACAGTGAAAGTTTCAACCAAAATGTCGATTGATATTACCAGTGATTTAATGCCACCTGAAAAAGTGATGCAGACTGCTGTAGTTGGTACAAATGGATCGTTAACTTATAGGTTGAATTTGGATGGTTTTCCTGGCTTTGGTTGGGCCTTCTCCTACTTTGCTGAAATTGAAGATTTGGATCCAGATGAGTCCCGGAAATTTAGGCTGGTGCTCCCTGGCGAGCCTGACATTAGCAAAGCTATGGTTAATATCCAAGAAAATGCTCATGGGAAATATCGCGTCTACGAGCCTGGATACTATAACATATCTCTCCCCTTTGTGTTATCCTTTAGGTTTGGGAAAACATCCGATTCTTCAAGGGGACCACTTTTAAATGCTATGGAGATAAACAAGTATCTGGAGCGGAATGATGGTTCTGTAGATGGTAAGCAAACTAATGGCTTCTTTGTGCATGCTCAGATCACTTGAATGCACTCCTTAGTTTAAACTTCTGTTTTGAAGTACAGCTACTACTGTATTGGCTTACCTATCAAACATCTTCTTTCTTCTCTTTTGGTGCAACACACATAATTGTCTCTTTGAAGCTCTAATCATAGCATGTTTGACTTGCAGGGGCAGTTATTGCAAGTGTAATTTCACCTTTTTCATCAGCTGACTGGGCTCAAGAAGGTGGTGATCCGTGCCTACCTGTTCCATGGTCATGGGTGCAGTGTAACTCAGATCCACAACCAAGTATAACTGTAATGTAATGACTCAATGCTTCTGAGGTTTTATGTCATTCATATTACTTCCCTGCTCTCTTGATGTTGTAGTCTAGTACCATATCTGAAAAGAAATGACACTGACACAACTATTTTTTCTATATGGTGCTCAGCCACTTATCTAGCAAGAATTTGACTGGGAACATTCCTTCGGACTTGTCCAAATTGACCAATTTAGTTGAGTTGTAAGTTTCAAACTGCATTGTTTTTTTCTGAGGATGGTAGCTTATATTTACATTTTCACTTCACAAAAGTGAGGCTCATGGTGTTATCATTATCCACTTGTATTATGGTCACAGATGGCTTGATGGGAATTCACTGATTGGTCCAATACCTGATTTTAGTGGATGCACAAATTTGAAGATCATGTAAATTCTGTTGACTTGTTCTCTCAATAATGTTCCTATCAAATTATTAAGCTAACCATTAACTAAGATCTTTTTCCTGATATAGTCATCTTGAGAACAATCAGTTGACGGGTGAGCTGCCTTCGTCTTTGGGGAACCTACCAAATTTGAGGGAATTGTAAGTTACAAGAACTTGGATAATGGATATCAGTTATTAATTAGTAGAAGGCCATTATAATATCGTGGAAATTTGTAATAAATTTTCCTACTTGAGTAGAAGGCAATGGCACCCAAATTCTACTATTAATTCTGTTTGATATGTTTTATTCTTTCTTTTATTTCAACTACGAGAGGATATTTTCCATGTTGCTTCCTAGAAGAAGATTGCACATCCTGAAGTATTTGCTGGTTGCAGGTATGTGCAGAATAATATATTATCCGGAACAGTGCCTTCAGTTCTCCTGGACAAAAACTTGGTCTTCAAGTGAGTATCATTTTAAAGTGAAAAATTGCTTAAGATGCTCTTGCTGTGGGTAAAGATGTTATGAAATTGTGGTGTACTTGTTTTATGATTAAAGTATCATGCACTCTCACAGGGTGAACTTGTATATCATTGGCAGCATGCTTGCATTTTAACAAATATGTACTGTACTCTCTTCTATCTAGGCAAGTTCAGTGCATTCTAAAGCTTTATTTTTCCTAACAGCTATTCTGGAAACATTAATCTTCATGAAGGGGCCAGAAAAGCTAGGCACCTCTATATTGTCATTGGTTCATCAGTTGGAGCCGCTATTCTGCTAATAGCTACTGTTGTATCTTGCCTATTCATGCACAAGGGGAAGAAAAGCCATTACAAGCAAGGTGAGTTTTGAACAATTTTGAAGTTGGATAGGTATCTCAGCTCTATGTGCTTAATTTGAATTAATTTCCTTTAGACCAACTTCGGCAACCCCTGCCCATTCAAAGGCCAGTTTCTGCCTTGAATGACGCTCCCTCGGAAGCTGCACATTGCTTCACATTAGCAGATATTGAAGAGGCTACAAACATGTTTGAGAAGAAAATTGGTTCTGGGGGTTTTGGAGTAGTATACTATGGGAAAATGAAAGATGGAAAGGAAATCGCTGTCAAAGTTCTAACCAGTAATTCCTACCAAGGAAAACGAGAATTTTCAAATGAGGTAACTTTTCACATTATTGAACCTCTTTTTATAATCTGATTATTATTATTATTATTATTCTTTTGTCCTTGTTGAGCTCCTTCATCTATTTGTTAAGTACTTGGTTTTGCCTTCTTTGATTCATAAGTTTATATTGTTAGGTATCTTTGGTTTTGATAAGCTAAGTTAAAATAGAATTCAAGTTTATGGCAACGGAAATACAGCTCTTACTTCTAAGTTTATGCACCCCATTTTGAAGGAAATAAATTGCTCTGATATCATTACTAGCGAGAGATTTCTTTAAATAAGCTTTTTTTGCATTTTAAAGAAATGATTGCTGTATTTGATGGTATAATATTGAGCTACTGGTTAGAAGCTAAAAATCTGTTTCTTTTCTCCTGCTTATATGTGGAATAGGTGATTCTTCTTTCAAGGATACATCACAGGAACCTGGTACAGTTTCTTGGATATTGTCAAGAGGAAGGAAGAAGTATGCTTGTTTATGAGTACATGCAAAATGGAACCTTGAAGGAACATCTTTATGGTATGTTCTTGAGTTTTTGCATTTAAGCATTATAAGTTTGAAGAGTCAACTTTGCATAAATTTTGGTAGGTGCATTGACACGTGAGCGAAGCATTAACTGGATCAAACGCCTTGAAATTGCTGAAGATGCTGCAAAAGGTTTGTTTTAATCTTGGGATTAAATATTTTGTTGCTACAGAGAAGTCTCAGTTATAGCTGAATAATTGAATTTAATCATGTGTTCATGTGCGTATTCAGGAATTGAATACCTTCATACAGGCTGTGTTCCAGCTGTTATCCACAGAGATTTAAAAAGCAGCAATATTCTTCTTGATAAACACATGAGAGCAAAGGTTTCAGATTTTGGTCTTTCAAAGCTTGCAGTAGATGGAACCTCTCATGTCTCCAGTGTAGTACGAGGCACTGTAGGGTATCTGGATCCTGAGTAAGGCCCTTTTTAATTAAAGCCATCCTTTTGTAATTGATGTCCTGTTAAATATCATCATTGATTTGAGTTATGATATTGCTGCTGTTTTGTGCTCTAATAGTATGAATGTAAATCTTTGAATACATTTTGCTTGTGGTGTCAGTGGCTCAAGAACATGTGCTTATGAACTGACAAACAGATTGTTGTAGGCTTGTAACTTTAAGTTGCTGACACAGCTATTGTTTCCAAGGACTCTTAGTCAATGGCAAGATTCATTTAAGCACATTTAGCAACAGATATCGTTATAACACCCATGCCTGTTTCCCTTGTGTAAATGGTTAATAATTCCTGCAAACTACAATACGGGCCTTGGTCTAAATTGTGCTGATAGTCACTTTATTTATAATTTTATTTGGCATGATTGGCTCCATTACATTAATAAATTTTGCTTTTTCATGATATGCAGGTATTATATCTCCCAGCAGTTAACTGACAAGAGTGATGTTTATAGTTTTGGCGTCATTCTTTTGGAGCTGATATCTGGTCAGGAAGCCATATCTAACGAAAGCTTCGGTGTTAATTGCCGTAATATAGTTCAATGGGTAAGTCTAGTTGATTAATTTTTTTAGGGGACCGCTTTTAAATGCTATGGAGATAAACAAGTATCTGGAGCGGAATGATGGTTCCGTAGATGGTAAGCAAACTAATGGCTCCTTTGTGTATGCTCAGATCACTCGAATGCACTCCTTAGTTTAAACTTCTGTTTTGAAGTACAGCTACTACTGTATTGGCTTACCTATCAAACATCTTCTTTCTTCTCTTTTGGTGCAACACACATAATTGTCTCTTTGAAGCTCTAATCATAGCATGTTTGACTTGCAGGGGCAGTTATTGCAAGTGTAATTTCACCTTTTTCATCAGCTGACTGGGCTCAAGAAGGTGGTGATCCGTGCCTACCTGTTCCATGGTCATGGGTGCAGTGTAACTCAGATCCACAACCAAGTATAACTGTAATGTAATGACTCAATGCTTCTGAGGTTTTATGTCATTCATATTACTTCCCTGCTCTCTTGATGTTGTAGTCTAGTACCATATCTGAAAAGAAATGACACTGACACAACTATTTTTTCTATATGGTGCTCAGCCACTTATCTAGCAAGAATTTGACTGGGAACATTCCTTCGGACTTGTCCAAATTGACCAATTTAGTTGAGTTGTAAGTTTCAAACTGCATTGTTTTTTTCTGAGGATGGTAGCTTATATTTACATTTTCACTTCACAAAAGTGAGGCTCATGGTGTTATCATTATCCACTTGTATTATGGTCACAGATGGCTTGATGGGAATTCACTGATTGGTCCAATACCTGATTTTAGTGGATGCACAAATTTGAAGATCATGTAAATTCTGTTGACTTGTTCTCTCAATAATGTTCCTATCAAATTATTAAGCTAACCATTAACTAAGATCTTTTTCCTGATATAGTCATCTTGAGAACAATCAGTTGACGGGTGAGCTGCCTTCGTCTTTGGGGAACCTACCAAATTTGAGGGAATTGTAAGTTACAAGAACTTGGATAATGGATATCAGTTATTAATTAGTAGAAGGCCATTATAATATCGTGGAAATTTGTAATAAATTTTCCTACTTGAGTAGAAGGCAATGGCACCCAAATTCTACTATTAATTCTGTTTGATATGTTTTATTCTTTCTTTTATTTCAACTACGAGAGGATATTTTCCATGTTGCTTCCTAGAAGAAGATTGCACATCCTGAAGTATTTGCTGGTTGCAGGTATGTGCAGAATAATATATTATCCGGAACAGTGCCTTCAGTTCTCCTGGACAAAAACTTGGTCTTCAAGTGAGTATCATTTTAAAGTGAAAAATTGCTTAAGATGCTCTTGCTGTGGGTAAAGATGTTATGAAATTGTGGTGTACTTGTTTTATGATTAAAGTATCATGCACTCTCACAGGGTGAACTTGTATATCATTGGCAGCATGCTTGCATTTTAACAAATATGTACTGTACTCTCTTCTATCTAGGCAAGTTCAGTGCATTCTAAAGCTTTATTTTTCCTAACAGCTATTCTGGAAACATTAATCTTCATGAAGGGGCCAGAAAAGCTAGGCACCTCTATATTGTCATTGGTTCATCAGTTGGAGCCGCTATTCTGCTAATAGCTACTGTTGTATCTTGCCTATTCATGCACAAGGGGAAGAAAAGCCATTACAAGCAAGGTGAGTTTTGAACAATTTTGAAGTTGGATAGGTATCTCAGCTCTATGTGCTTAATTTGAATTAATTTCCTTTAGACCAACTTCGGCAACCCCTGCCCATTCAAAGGCCAGTTTCTGCCTTGAATGACGCTCCCTCGGAAGCTGCACATTGCTTCACATTAGCAGATATTGAAGAGGCTACAAACATGTTTGAGAAGAAAATTGGTTCTGGGGGTTTTGGAGTAGTATACTATGGGAAAATGAAAGATGGAAAGGAAATCGCTGTCAAAGTTCTAACCAGTAATTCCTACCAAGGAAAACGAGAATTTTCAAATGAGGTAACTTTTCACATTATTGAACCTCTTTTTATAATCTGATTATTATTATTATTATTATTCTTTTGTCCTTGTTGAGCTCCTTCATCTATTTGTTAAGTACTTGGTTTTGCCTTCTTTGATTCATAAGTTTATATTGTTAGGTATCTTTGGTTTTGATAAGCTAAGTTAAAATAGAATTCAAGTTTATGGCAACGGAAATACAGCTCTTACTTCTAAGTTTATGCACCCCATTTTGAAGGAAATAAATTGCTCTGATATCATTACTAGCGAGAGATTTCTTTAAATAAGCTTTTTTTGCATTTTAAAGAAATGATTGCTGTATTTGATGGTATAATATTGAGCTACTGGTTAGAAGCTAAAAATCTGTTTCTTTTCTCCTGCTTATATGTGGAATAGGTGATTCTTCTTTCAAGGATACATCACAGGAACCTGGTACAGTTTCTTGGATATTGTCAAGAGGAAGGAAGAAGTATGCTTGTTTATGAGTACATGCAAAATGGAACCTTGAAGGAACATCTTTATGGTATGTTCTTGAGTTTTTGCATTTAAGCATTATAAGTTTGAAGAGTCAACTGTGCATAAATTTTGGTAGGTGCATTGACACGTGAGCGAAGCATTAACTGGATCAAACGCCTTGAAATTGCTGAAGATGCTGCAAAAGGTTTGTTTTAATCTTGGGATTAAATCTTTTGTTGCTACAAAGAAGTCTCAGTTATAGCTGAATAATTGAATTTAATCATGTGTTCATGTGCGTATTCAGGAATTGAATACCTTCATACAGGCTGTGTTCCAGCTGTTATCCACAGAGATTTAAAAAGCAGCAATATTCTTCTTGATAAACACATGAGAGCAAAGGTTTCAGATTTTGGTCTTTCAAAACTTGCAGTAGATGGAACCTCTCATGTCTCCAGTGTAGTACGAGGCACTGTAGGGTATCTGGATCCTGAGTAAGGCCCTTTTCAATTAAAACCATCCTTTTGTAATTGATGTCCTGTTAAATATCATCATTGATTTGAGTTATGATATTGCTGCTGTTTTGTACTCTAATATTATGAATGTAAATCTTTGAATACATTTTGCTTGTGGTGTCAGTGGCTCAAGAACATGTGCTTATGAACAGACAAACAGATTGTTGTAGGCTTGTAACTTTAAGTTGCTGACACACCTATTGTTTCCAAGGACTCTTAGTCAATGGCAAGATTCATTTAAGCACGTTTAGCAACAGATATCGTTATAACACCCATGCCTGTTTCCCTTGTGTAAATGGTTAATGATTCCTGCAAACTACAATACGGGCCTTGGTCTAAATTGTGCTGATAGTCACTTTATTTATAATTTTATTTTTCATGATTGGCTCCATTACATTAATAAATTTTGCTTTTTCATGATATGCAGGTATTATATCTCCCAGCAGTTAACTGACAAGAGTGATGTTTATAGTTTTGGTGTCATTCTTTTGGAGCTGGTATCTGGTCAGGAAGCCATATCTAATGAAAGCTTTGGTGTTAATTGCCGTAATATAGTCCAATGGGTAAGTCTAGTTGATTAATTTTTTTAGAATAAAGATAAGTTGACAAATACTTCTCACAACTTTCTCTTACAAACGCTGACGTGGCAGTGTATAATTGGTCAGTTCGCATTTAGTCAAGTGGGACCCATTGTTAGGCAGGCGGAACCTGTTGCAAGCTAACCAATTAAGAGCTGACACGTCGCGTTTGTGAGAGAAAGTTAATGAGAAAGGGTTTGTGAATGTACTATTACTTTTTTTTTTAAAACCCAAAAATCTCTCAACCTTTCATAGGTGTTCACCAAGCTCTAAAATCGGGTTACTTTTGGGCTTACCATCTTGGTATAGTCATGAAACTTGTGGGATATAATATCCGAAGAACTTGGCCCTAATGGGATTTGAACCCTGACCTCTTGGTTGAAATCAAGGACTTTTACCACTAATCCCAGTTAGTTAATTTCGGAGGCAGGATTTCACTTCTTGAACTCTCAAGCATATACCTCTTGCAGTCTGAAGCAAAATCATGAACTCTGTTGTAAACACAAATGCTAAACAAAGTAGCCTTAGAAAAGCTAGCGCTAATGTGAAGAAATGTAAATCATCACTACAAATTTGAAATGTGGTGTGAACACAAAGTTCAGAAAGGACCTATTTTGCTCAAGGGTCTCTGCACTTCCTCCTTTTAGATGTATCCGTTTTGTTAGCATCTCTTAATTGTCTTTAACTATTATGTGACAGGCAAAGTTACATATTGAGAGTGGGGACATTCAAGGAATCATCGACCCCTCTCTAGGGGATGAATATGACATCCAGTCAATGTGGAAAATTGCAGAAAAAGCTTTAATGTGCGTCTTGCCTCATGGACACATGAGGCCTTCAATCTCAGAAGTTCTCAAGGACATTCAAGATGCTATCTTAATCGAAAGGGAAGTCACATCTATTAGAGAAGGTAACTCAGACGACATGTCAAGAATGTCTGCTCATTCTTCCCTCAATTTAGGAGCTGAAAATTACTTGTCCTTGGATGAATCTATCGCACGACCAACTGCTCGATAGTCTTCGGTCAAGTGCAAGCACATAATTCCTATTTTTGTTTTCCTCATTTTGTGGTCATATTCTTTGTTGTAGCTAAAATTATGTAGCTGGAATGGGATTCAAGTTGCTCCATGTAGGTTAAGCAACCTGGTTAAAAATGAAAAAAAAAAAAAAAACATAAAAAGAAAAAAGGAAAATCTAAGAAAGAAGCTAGAGAAGAGTTGATTTTGTGAACTTTGTAAAATTTTTGTCTCCATATTGTTTTAGCGTCAGTCCCCCCCACGGAATTCTGTTTTTCATTTGGGGAAAGATAAATGCATCGGAATACCAATTGCAAGTATTCAATCAGTATTGTCAATTGTGTTTTCCAATTGCTGTGTGTTTGGTGGTAAATTCTAATCATCTTCAGTGAATTTGGGTCTAAATTATATATTCTGTATTCTGTAAGTTCAGAAATAATTAGTATTGGAATATTTTTTTCTTTTGTGACCGAATGTTCAAGTCAGCTTATATGTATCTCAATTAATGTTTCGAGATCCTGAAATTGATAATCGGATAAATCTTTTTAGTAATCGTTTCTATTAACAACTCAAGTAGGTAGAATTTATAATCTTTTAAATAATATATTTAAGAGTCGTATTGACCATAGAATCACTGTTTTAAAAGTCGGATCGGACCGATCGGTCCAACCGGTTAGACCGTGAACCGATCACGTGGCTGGTTCGAGTCAACCCTAAATCCGCTATTACGCAATAAACCGTTTTAACCCGTAATGGACCGTGTGAACATTATTGGACCGCAAGAAAACCGGTCCAACTGAAAAATTAAAAAAACCCTAATTTCTCCCTTTGTGCTGCGCAGTTTCTTCTTCCTCAATTCCTCTACACACAAAAAACTCTGAAATTTTTTAAATGAAATCGCAAAAATCTGAAAAAGATCACAAATCAAAACTTAATCTTGCTGAAATCGCAACCATTCGTTGCTGAAATCGATCGCAACTCTAGTCTCTGAAATCGTGACGACGCTTTCCTCCCTTGCCGAAAATCGATGACGACCAGATGATGACAACTCCATTCCTCCTCTCGTCAACGATCTAGGTAAAAAACACATTAGCAGCAAATTGGAAAACGTTAAAAGAAAGCAATGAGAATGGAAGTTGAAACGTGAAAAAGAAATTAGTAACCTTGAGGGAGATTATGAGGGATGTCGATGCAACGAGGGTTGCGATGACGGGATTTGAGAACGGAATTGTAATAGAGATATCCCTTACAAGATTTTGCCTTTGGAATTTTTTTAACAACAGATTTTTGTTGTTGTTGTTGCCGCTGATCATCGTCTACTTTCTCTTATTCTTTAATCGTATCCATCTCTAATTTGCTTGATCGCTTCTCTGTCTGTTTCTATCTCTCTCTCTAATTCTGTGTCAGCACATGCACAGAACTCCCCTCCAAATCAAATCCAAATGCTATGATTTGACTCGCTTCGACGTCGTTTCTTTTTTTAATTATTTGCTTCATGCTTGATTCATTCATTTAGGAGTCATTCACAATGGTTGACGCCTTCATAAAATTAAAATTTAGTGATATGCCAAACTTGCTAGGTATAATGATAGAAAACCCCCCACAGGTTTGATTCAATAGTTTAGTACTAATATCTTGGTGAAGTTGGATAAACGACCATCTCATCCATTCTTTTATTATTTACTTCTTTATAAGATTAATCCACACAAATTTAGAATGAAGAAAGTTTACATGTAATGTTACTGTAGTCTTTCACCTAAGAATCAAACATCTCTAATCCCTATGAATAGGGTTAACTCACTCTCATGATACAGAAACTTGAACATCATTTTTCAATGATTTCAATCTTGTATTAGGCCTTGTATTTTATTTATCATAATTTACAATGAGCTTCGAGTTGCAAAACTCATCAAAGAAGAGGCATTAATAAGTTTTTTAAAATATGTTGATATCATCATGATGTATGATGATATCATCGATCCAACCGACGTTCTAATCGATTGAATCAGTTGAATTGTGACCTAGAAAGTTGAGCGGATTACCCTCTGGTCTGGCTTTTAAAATAATGTATAGGACCACCATGTGAGGGTTTTATTGGAATATTGCTCGGCTGGAGTAAATAAAGGAGTCGACAGAAAGTGTCTCCTGGGATTTCTTACACCGAACATGACAATACAATACAACGAAGCTGGTAGGCCATATTATTCTCTTCTTCCCCGTACACATGATTAAACAAACATGTTTTGCAGCCGGGCAACATAACCCACGTCTTTCAATCTCGGTCGTTGAATTGGGCCCATCAGGATGGCCCCTCACTTTTAATAACCAAGCTTTAACACTGTGATGTGTTGACCATACTGCAGGGTTGTGTGTTGTGTCATTTCACTGGCAGCTAACGGGCCATACTACGTATATAGACAATTCGTGATTGGTCAGACTCATAGCAAGAAGATAATAAACATTAATCGATTAGATTATAAACATTCTATAAATAATATCACCCTAGTGTTATTCTTATTAATAAGAATAATTTAGTATTAAACACTCAAAGTTGCATTTCGAGTTTGTTTATCCTTATTCGATGTAGATCGTTTATTTTTATTTTTAAGGTTTGAGCTCTCCCCGGGTACTTACGTAGTCAAAGATTACGAGGTCCAACGGGATCCAACAAATTAAAAAAAAAAAAGTTTGGAAAATTAATAAATGATATAATAAATTTTGCAATGAATGATACATTATTAAATAATGGTTTGAGATGTGTTACTCTATTTTCGTTATAAAAATAAATTAAAGTAATGATAGTATGATATACATTAGGTAGAAACACAAAATTCACAAAACAAATTAAAAATAATTTATGATTGTTTAAATAAAGTGTTTCAAAGGATTATGTTTTTTATATTTTTAAAATATGGCAGCATGTTTAACAATGAAAAATAAACCAATGTGTCCTTGCTTCAAACGGACAAATGGCCAACATACAATTCTGAAGAGAACGACTTGGCGTTCATAGATCAAATAAGCAAACGACGTACCGTCTATTTTGAAGTGCTTATCTTATAATTTTAGTCAAAAGTCAAAACACGTGGTCTAATCACTAATGAATCGGTTAGGTCCGTATGGTGCGAAACTAGAAGCGCAGAAAACCCGGAAAATTTATTTTAAAATAAAATTAAAGGGAGAAACGAAACCAACGGTGTTGATAAACTCCATTTTTACATCTGAGTCGTCTCCTTTCTGCTCTCTTCTCCAGCGTCCGATCCCCTCTCTTTCTTCCCCAATCCTCTCCATCTAAAGCCTCTCCCTCTCTCGCGCCCTTTTACAAATCACCAACTCTCCCTCACTCGCTCTACCAGGTTCTTTTTCTAACGACTTAAACTATCTCCCCCTCTCTCTTTCTCTCTCCTCTCTCTTCACTTCTCTCGCTTTATCTCTTTAATTTTCTCTCTTCCTTAGGGTTTTAGCTCTGTTTGTGATTTAATTTGATGATGTTGATGTTGATTTTTGTTGTTGTTGTTGTCGGTGGTTGGTGGTGGTTAGGGTTTTGGACATGGCGGCCGAGGCACCGGCGAGTCCTGGCGGTGGAAGCCACGACAGCGGCGACCAAAGTCCGAGATCGAACGTTCGTGAACAGGATAGGTATCTTCCGATCGCTAACATTAGTCGGATCATGAAGAAGGCGCTTCCTGCGAACGGCAAGATCGCTAAAGATGCTAAAGAGACCGTGCAGGAATGTGTTTCTGAGTTCATCAGCTTTATCACCAGCGAGTACGATGCTTTTTTTTTTTTTTTTCTGTTAATTTTGTTTTCGTTTTGTCTTTTTATGGTTAATTTTGTTTCATGGTTAATGTTTCTGTGTTTGTAACGGTTGATTGATGCACAGGGCCAGTGATAAGTGTCAGAGAGAGAAGAGAAAGACGATTAACGGTGATGATTTGCTTTGGGCTATGGCAACTTTAGGGTTTGAGGATTATATTGATCCGCTGAAGATTTATCTGACTAGATATAGAGAGGTGATTTGTTTTTTGTACTCTGTAGCGGTTTTGCTTGTTTGTTAGCTTCTGTTTGTCTGTATGGTTGCTCTGAAAATGGAATAATTGTTTTCTAGGCCTTGATAACAACGAAAACTTTCTGAGTTTACTGGACTTAAAGGATTAGATATAGATTTGAAATTTAATTTTCATTTTTTGATTTCTCTGCGTTGGTTGTGATAATATGAATTCCTGCAAATTTTTTTGCTGACGCAGTTTATTTTTCTTGTTTGGTTCAATTTCCTGTTGATTATTGGATTCGATCGCGGCACAGATGGAGGTAAACTTAGTATCTTATGATGTTTTAACTGCAGTTTCCTGTTTTGATCTTTCAGTCGTTTTCATTGCTACAACTTTTTAAAATATTAAATTATGGGTCTTGGTAGGGTGATACTAAGGGTTCTGCTAAGGGTGGAGATTCGTCTGCCAAGAAAGATGTTCAACCAGGCCACAACCCCCAGGCAAATAAATGCTTTCCTTTTTGAATTTTTTCTTTCTTTATTATTTTTTTTAATTTTAAAGATCAGTGTTGTACTTCAATAAGTAGGAAGAAAGTTTTTTTATACTCAAGCTTAAGATTGTTACTTTTCGCACTTTTGCATGACAGCTTGCCCATCAAGGTTCTTTCTCACAAGGTGTTAGCTATGGAAATTCCCAAGTAATCTCTCTCTCTCATATATATATAATATATATATACACTCATACTCAATAAGTTCATATGTACATGCGCATCTGCACTAACACCTTCAAACAAGTATTTGCATTGTGTGGAAAGCTTGAATGGTAAAATATTTGTTTCAACATTAACTGAGACATTCTAATTATTATTCTAAAGCTAACTAATTAAACAAACTAGAGCATTTACAACGGAGCATTTTCAATCCAGGGATATGAATACCAGCTAGGCAATACCAACAGAAATACAGAAGCACCTTGAAATATCTTTGAAGCACTACTGATCAGTTATGATCGATGCTGTTCAGTTTGCTGTTAAAGTTAAAGCATCGGTCCCCAGTTGTCAGTTTTTATGAAATATATGTCGTCTTTGAACTGTTATGTTGGTGCTTTAATGTTATTTGATTCTGGTGTGAAATAACAAACATTTTATAGTACATGTTGACCCATGTCTGGTTATCAATATGCCCTTCGTTCATGTATCTTTTTTTAAAATCTTCAATGTCTCGTTTAATGATACTGTATTTGTACTTCAATTTTTTTTTTTTTTTGTTGGAATAGAAAAGTTTACGATTAGATTTTCTGCGATCAGAGTTTGAGTGGTGGAAATGAGAGGATAAATAGACATTCCATTATTTCACACACACATATATTGACAGATAGATAGATACCCATTGCATATATGGTACTTTTTAGCCCATAAACTTTTTGAGGAAGGTAGTTGAGGGTCACCGCTTTTAGCTTAGTTCAATTTTAGGGCTGGAAAGTTCAAAAGAAATCTGTCATAGGCTTTGCTTCTGCACTGACTCTATATAACATCACTTCTCTTTTATTATTGGCACCTGTCTTCATACGTATGAACTGGAATTATACCATAAATTAGTTTGTTATTTTAAGATTCTCCCTACTATTGAGGCAATTAACTATTTTCCTTTTTCCTTTTTAAGGAAACTTCCTCGCGTTTGATGCATTGTTCTTTTGTAAAAATTTCACCTTTGTGTTTCAAATATTAAATCATATGATTAAGGCAACATAACTTGAAATCTTAAATTTGTTGGGGCTTTAGTAAAAGTGGGATTTTGTTTTGGTCTTTAGGCTGTACTGTTGCTTTGCTAGAAAAATGTTGACATTTGAAGTGAATTAGAAAAGAAACCACTTAATTTTGCTAAGATGGAATTCCGCTACTTAATTTTGCAAAGATGGAATTCCACAACTTAATTTTGCAAAGATGGAATTTCACAGCCTTCTAAGTTTTCCTTGTGTTTCAAATTTTCCTGAATTTCCTAAAACTTTGTTTCAGTTATGACTAGATTGGTTTTAGATATGCTCTTAACCATATTGGAATAAGAGTGATTTCACAAATAGCATGTACATTTTGTACCATTAATTATGAATTTGAATTACGAATGCATGTGTGAAAGATAAGCATTGTCAAAGAGTGACTTTCTGTCCTAGAAATAATAGTAAGATATACATACAAAATAATGTGGATTTGCTGATACAATTCTTCGAAAGGATATAACACTACGGGGCATTAATAAATAAACATATATCCCATATCTTAGATTTTATTTTATTTTTTTTAAATGTTGTGGTTAGAATTTGCTGTGGGTATTATCTAGTTAAGTTGGTTAGATCTTTGGAGGTTGTGCAAGAGATCATGGGATCAAATTCGGCTCACAGCACGGTTTGGGGGGATTTTTTATGTATTTGTAAGTTTCAAGAAAAGAAGAAAAAAAAAGAAAAAGAATTTTTGAAAAATTTACAACTTGCTATCTGATTGTGAAACAATGATTTCCCTGCCTAACATGTAACATACGTCAACTGTTGAAGAGTTTCTACAAGCTATATAGTATGTGGCCTAATCTAAGAAATGATTTAATTACATTTAAGAGTTACCATACTTGTATCCCGAGCATCTATGAAGTTTACGTATCCACTGTTAATATGATACCAAAAGGGCTCACTTATAGGAACATGCATGTTTCATCACTATACAATAGCTATTATAGATTATGCTGTTACTAAATTCAAGGTAGCTGAACACTCTTAAGTATTTTACTGTTTATTGCTAGTTGACTATTTGTGAGTCGTTCGTGTGGTGGCTTGTAGTTGTTGTAATGCTGTGAATGGAATTTATCAGTGGACAACTATACTTGCTGCACATCATTATCTGTCCTTATGAACCACTACTATGGAAAACACATCACATACAAAGAATTATGCTGAGTTTTATATGAAGTAATTGTATAAATATTTGTTGAACCTATGATAAATATTTGCTGGCTTTTTGAACTTATATGCTCTCTGCTATCCACTATCATGTGATTATCTCATAAACCATTTCATAATTATTGTTAATTTTAGATATGATTAATTGTTTGANTTCAATCCAGGGATATGAATACCAGCTAGGCAATACCAACAGAAATACAGAAGCACCTTGAAATATCTTTGAAGCACTACTGATCAGTTATGATCGATGCTGTTCAGTTTGCTGTTAAAGTTAAAGCATCGGTCCCCGGTTGTCAGTTTTTATGAAATATATGTCGTCTTTGAACTGTTATGTTGGTGCTTTAATGTTATTTGATTCTGGTGTGAAATAACAAACATTTTATAGTACATGTTGACCCATGTCTGGTTATCAATATGCCCTTCGTTCATGTATCTTTTTTTAAAATCTTCAATGTCTCGTTTAATGATACTGTATTTGTACTTCAATTTTTTTTTTTTTTTTTTTTTTGTTGGAATAGAAAAGTTTACGATTAGATTTTCTGCGATCAGAGTTTGAGTGGTGGAAATGAGAGGATAAATAGACATTCCATTATTTCACACACACATATATTGACAGATAGATAGATACCCATTGCATATATGGTACTTTTTAGCCCATAAACTTTTTGAGGAAGGTAGTTGAGGGTCACCGCTTTTAGCTTAGTTCAATTTTAGGGCTGGAAAGTTCAAAAGAAATCTGTCATAGGCTTTGCTTCTGCACTGACTCTATATAACATCACTTCTCTTTTATTATTGGCACCTGTCTTCATACGTATAAACTGGAATTATACTATAAATCAGTTTGTCATTTTAAGATCCTCCCTACTATTGAGGCAATTAACTATTTTCATTTTTCCTTTTTAAGGAAACTTCCTCACGTTTGATGCATTGTTCTTTTGTAAAAATTTCACCTTTGTGTTTCAAATATTAAATCATATGATTAAGGCAACGTAACTTGAAATCTTAAATTTGTTGGGGCTTTAGTAAAAGTGGGATTTTGTTTTGGTCTTTAGGCTGTACTGTTGCTTTGCTAGAAAAATGTTGACATTTGAAGTGAATTAGAAAAGAAACCACTTAATTTTGCTAAGATGGAATTCCGCTACTTAATTTTGCAAAGATGGAATTCCACAACTTAATTTTGCAAAGATGGAATTTCACAGCCTTCTAAGTTTTCCTTGTGTTTCAAATTTTCCTGAATTTCCTAAAACTTTGTTTCAGTTATGACTAGATTGGTTTTAGATATGCTCTTAACCATATTGGAATAAGAGTGATTTCACAAATAGCATGTACATTTTGTACCATTAATTATGAATTTGAATTACGAATGCATGTGTGAAAGATAAGCATTGTCAAAGAGTGACTTTCTGTCCTAGAAATAATAGTAAGATATACATACAAAATAATGTGGATTTGCTGATACAATTCTTCGAAAGGATATAACACTACGGGGCATTAATAAATAAACATATATCCCATATCTTAGATTTTATTTTATTTTTTTTAAATGTTGTGGTTAGAATTTGCTGTGGGTATTATCTAGTTAAGTTGGTTAGATCTTTGGAGGTTGTGCAAGAGATCATGGGATCAAATTCGGCTCACAGCACGGTTTGGGGGGATTTTTTATGTATTTGTAAGTTTCAAGAAAAGAAGAAAAAAAAAGAAAAAGAATTTTTGAAAAATTTACAACTTGCTATCTGATTGTGAAACAATGATTTCCCTGCCTAACATGTAACATACGTCAACTGTTGAAGAGTTTCTACAAGCTATATAGTATGTGGCCTAATCTAAGAAATGATTTAATTACATTTAAGAGTTACCATACTTGTATCCCGAGCATCTATGAAGTTTACGTATCCACTGTTAATATGATACCAAAAGGGCTCACTTATAGGAACATGCGTGTTTCATCACTATACAATAGCTATTATAGATTATGCTGTTACTAAATTCAAGGTAGCTGAACACTCTTAAGTATTTTACTGTTTATTGCTAGTTGACTATTTGTGAGTTGTTCGTGTGGTGACGTGTAGTTGTTGTAATGCTGTGAATGGAATTTATCAGTGGACAACTATACTTGCTGCCCATCATTATCTGTCCTTATGAACCACTACTATGGAAAACACATCACATACAAAGAATTATGCTGAGTTTTATATGAAGTAATTGTATAAATATTTGTTGAACCTATGATAAATATTTGCTGGCTTTTTGAACTTATATGCTCTCTGCTATCCACTATCATGTGATTATCTCATAAACCATTTCATAATTATTGTTAATTTTAGATATGATTAATTGTTTGAACTACCGATAGTTTTGTTGAAAACATGTTTCGTGATCAATCATTTACTAATTGTTAATGATTCTTCCTTGTTCTGTGAGTTGTTAATTAGCATTTTGCTATACGAAGTTAATCAATGAAAAGATTGTGTCATGCTTGGTTTCTGTTGTGTGTATAGGCAATAAGCTATTTTGTCCTCAAAATGTCTTGACATAGTTAAGTGCTTTTTGAAATATTGTATTGGTTTAAGAGAAAGTTTTGTCCCCTTTAGTTTACTGGAGCATAAGCTTAAATTAATAGTTAAGGGATTAACAATTGTATTTAAGTTCTAATGCACCTTTCATTTGCAAGGCTTTTAGATCATACACATTTCTAGGTTACCACTAGTGACTAGACTTTAAAGCTTAAGTTGTTCGGTAAAAAATTATAGTAAAATATAAGTTGTAACACATCCTCTTATGCACATGGAAGAAACACTATGACAATCACAAATACAATTTTAGAATTTGAACATGAGATCACTTAGCCATTCTGGTTTTAGTATAATGTTAAGTTACTATTGAATCTAAAGCTTAAGTGGATAGCTAAAGGTCTAACATTTATCAATTTTAACATTCCCCTTTTGGTATTTTGTGCTAAATTGTCTGATATTGCTGTTTACTAGTTAAAGATGTAAACAATTTTATAATTTTACATTTTATAGGAGTGTTAGGTAACGGTCTAGGATTGCAAATAATTTCCATATCCATGAACAAAATGAATTTTAGGCATTAGTTCTATTTATTTTCATCAAATTATTATCTCATAAATCAAAGATCTTTGGACTATCACTTGACTCCTATTTTGTCATGGTTACTGTTTTGTTGCCACCGGTTCAGGATTGTCAACTTGCTGTAATTATAGCATTCAGTTGTTGCTGCTTTGCATATTTCTCTTACCACAGCCTCTTCTTTTGCCACCTCCATTGCCATTACTGTCTTGCAGTCACCATCATCACCAATACCTGTAGTGTACCTCCACTATGATTTGAATCTCACAAGATCCTACCGTCATTCTAAACCATTGCATGTCACTGCTTGCTGGCCTTCTACTGCTAGCATTTTATTTTCTGTTGTGGACTCAAATACAGGACTTATCTAATTTAAGAAAGAAGGGATAAGTCATTTAGTTGTTAATGCTGTGCAAATGGCTTATACCAAGATATTGTCCCCATCAATACCAGTTTGGAAATCCTTATATCAACCTTCGTTCTCTCCCTATTAGTTATGAATGGTGTCAACATGGTGGAAGTAGTTGTAGTGGTGGTACTCGGTAGACATTAATTTATTTTTTTTCTAATTTTTTTGTAAGAGGGGGTGGACCAGTTGGGGATTTTGATTAAATAATTATTGGTAGACGTATATTTTCAGATGAGATATGAATTTACTCAAGATTGTTTCAAACAAATTGATGTCGGATGCAAGTCTGGACACCTTTAAACATTTCGCCATGCAACTTAAATTTTTATTTGTCAAGTATTTGTTGAAAAAAATTCTGATTTTCTAGTGTCCTTTGTGTATTTTGAGAAATTAATATCACGTATTGTACTCTGAACTGAATCCTGGAGAGTATCCATGTGCTGAATTTAAACATGTGGTGGTTTAGTGTTGGTTTTTGTGGCCACTGCTTTAGTGTTCCTTCGGGTTAGATGTTGATTTTTTGCATGTTCATGTTTGGTAAGTTTAAAGAGTTTCCTTATATTTGTCCTTAAATTCAATTAATTAAATTAACAAAATGTTCTCCTGTATGACGAATTCACTCTTTTCCAGCTATGCTAATCTATATCTACTCTTGCCTATATTGCAGCCGCAGTCACATATGATGGTTCCTATGCAAGGCACAGAGTAGACATCTGCAGTCGCATCACAACCACCAATTACATAACTTAAATATCATTAAAGATCTTGCCTGGTGCCCTCAACATATATGGTATTGTAGGTCACCATATATATCGTATTGTATTGAACCATTAATCTGATTTGAACCATTTACGTTATGAGTAGTTCTGGTCCATCTGTTGAGTGCATTATTTTTCTGGTTAGTTTTGTAAATTTTTCGTTCTGAATAGCATGACCATTTGAAGAATTTTTGTATATCTTGGAACTATTTATTTCTGTAATTTATAGTCCAGGCAATTGGAAAGTAACTTTGGTTTATGCTATGCAACTGTTTAGTTAACTTCTTTAATTCTATTCTCTGATGTTACAGATAAAGATTTGTGTTATATTGAGTTTGTTTTCCATGGTTTTTTTTTTTTTTTTTTGGGGGGGGGGGGGGGGGGGGGACGGGGGTAGGATTGTAAACCAGCCGAAGCTCGTAAAGCTCGGCTCGATAAGGCTCTGACTCGACTTGACTGAACTCGGTTCGTTAACCGAGTCGAGTTAAACACAGTGAAGCTGGCTCGTGGCTCCAGAGTCCGGCTGATTAAGCATGACACTTACGATGGTGTTTTGTGATTTTTAAACTATTAGGTATTAAACTGATTTCAGTGAAAAAAGTTTTAAAAAAGACAGTTTTCCCCCAAAGTGCAAATTTGAATAACACGATACACCAAAACAGGCTCAATTTCAGTTCCCCATCCAGTCCCAATCCCAAATCGCAATCAAAGACCAAATCCAAATGCAACAGACCCTTGAAATCGGTAATCTCCGTCGCATCTCGATCTACAACGGAAAAGGAGGCCCGACACTTGAAAATTCAGGTTTGTTTGTTGCCCGTTGCCATCCCTAATTTATTTACTCTGTGCCGTTAAAATGTTGCATTAGGAATTTCCAAGCTATCGTGTGTTGGCTTTGTGTGGTTTGGAGAGGATGACGATGTGTTGTCTCTGTTGCGAGGATAAAAAATTGTATGTAATTGTTGAAATTGGTCATTGAGTTAAGTGTCTTCTTGTGTGGAGATGGTGTCAGTTATCAGAGTCAAAATGTGATTTGGTTTGATTTGCAATACAGATTGCGCTTTGAGGTCATGCTGTAGGATTTATAGGCTTCCAAAATCAATTAAAGCCTCCAGTTAAAGTAGTGAGTGGCGTCAATGAAAATTGATGCCCTTTGAGTGGACATGTTCATCTAGAAGAGAGAATGTATATGTTGAGTGGAATGTATCTGGAGATTTGAATGGGTGGGGTATATATTTATGATATTTATATGTTAGATATGGTAAAGAAAAGAAGAAAAAAAAAAAAATCTCTCCTCTGGCTAAATGTGGCTTGACTCCTGAAAGTTTTACAGTACTTCTTGTCTCCACCTCAAGTCTACGCTTTCCCAAATAAATTCTCCAGTAGGTTTATCATCTTTGGGTGTTTTTAGCTCATCCATTCTACATACTCAAGTATTAAAGTTTTGTCTAAATTCCATCTCCGTTTTTAGTTAAAAGATCAATTTTGAGTTCATTATATGAAGAGAATAGAGAACCCAAAAGGTGTTCAGTTTAAGGGGTGATATTGAAGAGAATGGAGAAGCGATAAGATGTCTAGTTTAAGGGAAGATGTTGATAAAAAGAAGAAGAAGAAGAATGTGCTCTTGTTTTGTGGTCTGGTGTTTTCAATATTTGTAATGCATAAGTGTAATACGCACGTTTTAGCAATATTATAAAACGTGCGTTTCCTGATGGTTGCATGTATAAAAGACAGCCCTTTTTCCTTTGTACTCAGTTAGAAAGTGAAAAATAACAAATTCTTTCTGGAACTCACACTTTCATGTCTGTTTTTCTGCGTGTTTTCTCTTCTAGAATTTTCTCTTCATCTCTAAACTTTTCACATTAGAACTTGTATGGTTTTTATGGAAGCAGTAGGGTATATATTTGTTATTCTTCATTTTATTTAAATTTTTTATTAATTATTTTTTACTCCAAAATCTGTGAAGTTTTTATATATAGAGAGTAATACATAACGGAGTGTCGATTGATGAACAAGAATCTCTTAGGAAACATCTTGAACCTGTTCTTCATTTTAATTATCCAAACACTTGTTCATACCCAATTCTCCTGAGTTCTCGTCTGAATCTCTTTAGCTCTCCTTTCTTTTAATTCTCCTATATCTGTCTGTGTTTCTGTAATTCTGTTTTTTTTTTAATCTGTCTGCTCCTCTGTCACTGTGTCAAAAATGAAATTCTAAAACACTTCTCAGATTTGTTACTAGTTTCTAGAACATACAATAGTCTGTACAATAATTTTTAACAGGCATCATTAATAATATATGCCCTAAACTATATATTTGATATATTATATGTAAAAACGTTTCCATTAACTCGGTCTCTAAAATTAGAAAAAGAAAAAGAAAAAAGAAAAAGAAAATGAAATAAAGAAACATAATTATAATATAATTGACATTCGTTGGCTCCCAAACGGTGGAATGCTTTATGTGTGGAGTATTGGCGATGATTGAATGGGGTGAAGAAAGGATGAAAGTAGGTTACATATTATATTGAATATTGTTTTTATTAAATTAGTTATTACTTTATATTTATACTAACTAAACTTCAATTACCTCTTTGTCATTTTCAGGAAGAGCAACAACTTGGAGATCAACCTTCTATCCCGTAAGTTCTGGATTCAGTGCATGGTTTGGTGGGTAGGAGGCATGCATAGGTAAAACTTTTATCTTTTGCTTTTGTTTCGTAATACATATTTTTTCTTGTCATAGTACCTTAAAAAAACTTTATAAATTGAACATTTTTAGAGGCAGGGGGAAATTGTGGTTTCATCGAAGACAGGCCTACTGCAGAATACTGGGGGATTGTGATTTGATTGGTGGACTGTATATGTACTCCAGGAATGTTATTTGTATATATTCAAAATGTTTTTTGATTTTGTAAGGTAATAGACATTTTGTAATATTCGAAAATGTTATGGTTAATTCAAATTGGATGTAATATGAAATGTTTACGAGGCAGATTCTGTAAAAAAAGGGAACTTGGCTATCAAACCCGATAAATGGTGGTTTGATCGGCTTATCGAGCTCGTAAGCTCGGACGCTACGTGACGAGCTCGACTCCGACGAGCTCGAGTTCGAGTCTCAATTTTGAGGCTCGCCAGGCTCGGAGCTCGACACTGTTGTAAACGAGCCGGCTTGATAAGCAAAAAACTCAGTGGCTCAATCGTTTAAGTCTCGGGGGGGGGGGGGGGGGGGGGGGGGGGGGAGGGAACTTAATACCTGTGATACTCTCAAATTATGTAAGAGAATACTACACTATAACACATCTCACAACATTCTCTTGTAATTTCAATATAGCAAATGATAAATGATTTAAAATGATAGATTGTTTATTGATGAACAATAATTATCTCTTTATAAAGAGATTGTTCCTTATGAAAAAAAACAATATCCATTCATAAAGAATGATTGTTTTTATGAAGAACAACTATTTATGAATGAAATTATTTTTATAAATAAACGTTGTTTGTCCTTAAGGAACGTCGTTCGTCTTTAAGAAACAATCGTATGTTAGTCAAAGTCGTTAGTTGATGTGATAATGTCAATTTACTGTCAATCAGAGTTGCGAGATTAGAAGTAAATGTAGTCTTTTGTTTGGAGCATTTTTGGCTTCATTTGTGCCCTTTTTATCGACATAGCTACAAATACAATCAACGATTCCAAAGGAATGTAGGTGTGAATAATGAAGATTACTAATATATTATATTTCTGAGAAGACTTGGGATCAGATCCTTAATTTATTTAACAAGAAGTACTAGATATATAAAGACTCTTACAAAAAAATCTTTTTTAAAAAGTGATGTGTGTCATCATTAATTTTTAAAAAGAAAAAAAAGATTAACGTAAAATTAATAGTATGATATCTGTCACTATCACTTTTGTATAAAAGACGCATACACAAATCTAGCATTTCCCATTGACTCGATAATTTGCGTAAATGCTATGCTACTTTACCAGTCACCCTATAAGCTTTTGTTTTGTTTTCATGTTTTAAATTGCGTGGGGTCATAGTTGGAGCACTTAATTTATTGTGGCATGAACCGTATCTTTCTGCTTAAATTAATCAAATTATTTATCAGGATTTCATTTATAGAGAGCTTTCCCAAAAACGATAGGAGGAGAAAAAAAAAAAATCTGAGTCGGTGGTGTGTCAGTGCCATTCAAGTTCCTTGTCAAAATCTATTTAGCGTTGCTAATTTTTCCAAGTCAATAGTCACTTCTTTTCCTTACTTTTTAAGTTTTCACGCGTGTGTTGCAACAGTATTGTATTGTCGTTTCCCTCACTTCTACGTTTTTTTGTGTAGGTTAAGACTGCCTCCCGACCAAGTTTCGGTCCTTTATCTGCAGGGATTATTTCATTTTTTGTTTTTTTTTGATAATTTTGTACGAATTATTTTAGGATAGTATTGATAAATTATAAATGGGGTTTTTTTGATACTTTTTGGACGTAACTGATGAATTTAAATCTCATAGGGTAAAGTGAAATAAACCCTTTTATTTGCATGACACAAGATAACATCTAGAAAAAGAAAAAAAAAAAAAAATAGAAAAACTTACATCTTTTGTGATCAGGGTTGTCTGGACTAGCTTGTATATACCTTAATTAATCTTTCAGAGCCCTAAAGTTAACAACTAGATAAATTCCTTTAGTAATCACCCCTATTAGTGTTTGTAAGACTTAAACTCAAGAATCTATGTTAGATTCTTTTATTTTTTTATTATTTGACCACCCAATGATGGTTATCGGTTTAAATGTTCCATTGTTTCAACACTTACTGCTTTTTTAAGGCCTAACATTATCATGTCCATTGATCAATAAATTTTTTGAGTAATTAATAAAACACTGCCTCTTTCTAATAGACTAAAACAGGAGGATCTCATCTCAATGCATAGTTATCTCCGAACATCTTCCAAAAATATTGCATCTTTGTGGGCCGGGCCCCGGATCCAAAACAACTGAGTCATAAGGCGGCGCCGACTGTCCGCCGAGCTGAAAGCTAGAAGAGAAAGTATACACATCGTACGGTTTAAAATCCAAATGGTGTCATGATGTTTGACAACAATCATCTACTACTGAAAAAGCAAATTCCCCCAGCCTCAAGCTTCAGGTTGGTCACGCTAATCACCCCGCATTTGGCCCCACACAAGATCACAAATCAACCACAATTATCATATCCACAATGTACCCGCGATACACATGATAACTATCTCCCTGTAGTAGAAGCTTTAAATTTTTCCATATATATCTCTTCTTTATAACAGTACAACAATACCCTGTTCTCTTGATCATCATCATCATCATCATCATCACCATCACCAATTCATCATAATCACAATCACATACGCCAATATTTTCTCTTTGATTTAATCTAATCTTCTCAATTACAGGATTCGGATTGAGATCCTCAAAAAGAAGTATTAACAGTTTAAAACAAAAACGAAAACGAAACAAAAAGCCCTAGTTTTTTTTTTCTTCTTCATTGAAAATTCAGGTCTTCGATTCTCTCGAAGGCCGATTAAGAAAGAACTTCAACAACTAGGTACACTGAAATGACTCATAATTCTTCAATGTGATCGGTTTCTCTTTCGTCTTTTCTCTTTTTTCGCTTTGATTCTCGTTACTCGTTTTTCTTCTCCAGTGTAATTTTTTTTTTTGTTTTGTTTTGTTTGTTGTTGATTAAATGGTTTTTGAGTGTTTTTGATGAATCTGTTCAATGCTTTGTTTATATCTGAACAATCCCCTCACTTTGTATGTTGTTTTTTTTTCTTTTTGTTTTTTGCTTTTTTACTTTTGAACTCAACTAATATGATTATATATATACGCGTATTATGTTGAGAGTTGATTATGATTATTGAGGTTTGTTCGTGCTCTGTTTTCTTTAAAACTGAATGTTTTCATTTTACACAGTGGGATTGTATTTGTTTTTTTGGTTATTTATGAATTAAATTCATAGTTTGGCTTCAAGACGGCAAGTTTACTGTTGTTTATCTGATCAACCGAACATATTGACTTCACAGGAGGGATGTTTATTGGAACATTGTGTTGATGATCAAAGAGACTGAACAGTAATCAATGGGAAATCGCGGACAAAAACGCATGGAAATGGCTGTTGATTTACCTGAAGATAAAAGAGCTTGTAGTTCATTAGACTTTAGGCCAAGTACATCAAACTCATCTGTTCAAACCCACCTGAATTCCACAAATTCCACACCTGAAACCCACCATAACGATATGGATACTTCGTCTTCTGCTTCAGCTTCAAGCCGATCAGAGGAAGAACCTGAAAAAGATTCGGGATATGGTTCGTGTGATTCTGATGATGGAGACCCCAGACATAGTGGTCTTAGAGAATTACAGAGGAGGAGATCATCTGGTGATCTTGGAAAATTGAGGAGTATTTTAGGGAGTTTGAGTGAAGACGGTGATCCTTCTAAGCAAATAGTTGCACTTACAGAGTTATGTGAAGTGTTGTCTTTTGGTACAGAGGATTCACTTTCTAGCATGATGGCAGACTCGTTATCACCAGTTCTTGTAAAGCTGGCAAGGCATGAGAGTAACCCAGAAATAATGTTATTGGCTGTTAGGGCTGTAACATATTTATGTGATGTGTTTCCTCGATCATCAAGCTTGCTTGTTAGACATGATGCGGTTCCTGCCCTTTGTCAAAGATTAATGGCTATTGAGTACTTAGATGTAGCTGAACAGGTATTCTTTGTCATAGAGTTAATTTTTCTGTATTTTCAGACGTAATTGATCATTATATGTAAGTATTTGTTTTTCCTTTTTGTAGTGTTTGCAAGCACTGGAGAAAATTTCTCGGGACCAATCACTTGCCTGCTTACAGGCTGGGGCTATTATGGCTGTTTTAACTTATATTGATTTCTTTGCTACAAGTGTACAGGTATTTAAATATCCATTTTTATTTCAGGAATTAATGGATATTAATTTTGTCCCATTGCCTGTTGAATCGATTTAATCTACAATTGGTTATAAATGGCTTTAAGAATAATTTTTAATTTTCCTTTTATCTGCATTAGAGAGTTGCACTGTCCACCGTGGTGAACATATGCAAGAAACTTCCTTCGGATTGCCCTTCAACTTTAGTGGATGCTGTTCCCATATTGTGCAATCTTCTTCAGTATGAGGATCGACAGGTAGGATTGCATTAAAATTCTATGACGGTTTGCCATTCATCTGTTTAAATATTTACTGACCTTCCAACCTTTATTTGAATAATCTTATCTTCTCAGCTGGTTGAAAGTGTAGCAATATGCTTGATAAAAATATCAGCACAGTTAAGTCAGTCCACTGAGATGCTTGACGAACTTTGTAAGCATGGATTGATTCATCAAGCCACGCATCTTATAAACTTGAATAGTCGAACTACTCTATCCCAGCCAGTTTACAATGTATGCAAATTTTTCTCCATCATCTTCCAAAAATAATTTTCCTCATATTTCCTGCCCTAGAATGATACATTAACTTTGTCATTTTGGTTGGCAGGGTTTGATTGGGTTGCTTGTCAAAGTCTCTTCTGGTTCACTTGCAGCTTTCAGAACTTTATATGAGCTTAATATAAGCAGCATATTGAAGGATATATTATCAACTTATGACCTCTCACATGGAATGTCTTCTCCACATGTGGTTGATGGGCACTCCAATCAGGTTTATATCTTAGCCATTTATGGCATAATTGTCTGACTGGAACAATGAATTTTATTTTTGTTTTTACCCGTATGCATGATTTGCATTTTGCAAACATAGGACATGGGTAGTATGAAATTAACATGCAGACAGGCAATTCTGAAGGAAACAAAAATTTGAGCTTGTTCAGGGGAACTTGACCATGATATGACTTTTTTGATATATTACCTTCTGTCATTAGAAATATAATATTTCAACATATACATCGAATATTTTGTTATAGAGCTATTGTTTGAAACTTGGGAGTGATGAAGTGACTGTTGGTTTTGGCCAACACATGAGATTTAAGCACTACCCAATAAGTATTGGAAGTAGCACCCTCGACATAGAAATGATATTGAAAGGTCTAGTATTGGTGCTTGCAAGATCATTATATACATTTTGCAGAAAGCACTACCCAGTAATTTTTTTTTTTATATTTTTATCATTAGAAATCCCTAGAAACAGGAATGATCTGTGAATGGCTGGTTTTAAATTTTTTTAGCAATGTAGTTGGTTTACTTTGCATTATCAACTTCATTGAAAATTTTGTAGCAAAAAGAGGTAGAGTGGACCTTTCATTTAGTAGGTAGTTTTTTAAAAGTTGGCATTGAAGTTTCTACGCATTTTTTGTGTGCAAATTACAATGTTTGAGGTGGATTCTGAGTTCATTTTGGAGTTGGTTTAATCTAATTAATCCTTTACTTTAATATATGTTGCTACTTAACAATTATTCTCTCTTTTAAGTGTATTTAAGAGATTATGTCAATAAGGAATTAAATAATAGGGTTTTATATAGTTAAGAGGAAATGAACTGACTGGTTATTACTGAATCTGGATCAATTACGGCAATAATGAAATTAGATTATAAATTTTATTTTGTCAAGAGGAAAAGGAACAGAATAGTTATCGCTCAACTTTGTTGCTCAGGTACATGAGGTTCTGAAGTTGTTGAATGAGCTTCTCCCTACTTCAGCTGGAGATCAATGTGTTCAGCTGGTGTTGGATAAGCAAAGTTATTTAGCTGAACACCCTGATCTTCTACAAAAGTTTGGGATGGATATACTTCCCATGTTGGTCCAGGTTAGTTTTCTGACATTTGCAGATCAAATACTGTTTGTTGTCCCTTCCTAGCTTTGTAATATATTCTTCACCCTTTGCACAGGTGGTTAACTCTGGTGCAAATATATACGTTTGCTATGGCTGCCTATCTGTTATCCACAAGTTAGTTTATTTGACCAAATCTGACATGCTTGTTGAATTGCTTAAGTGTGCCAACATTCCAAGGTAAACCTGGCAATAGTGTCTTTTGTGTAACACATACATGATGCATCTTAACTAAAGCTAATGAAGTTCTTTATTTGATGTGGCAGTTTTCTGGCTGGGGTGCTTACCCGAAAGGATCACCATGTGCTCATACTAGCTCTGGAGATTGCTGAGAAGATCCTGCAGAAGCTTTCTGATACTTTCTTGAACTCTTTCGTGAAGGAGGGTGTCTTTTTTGCCATTGATGCACTGTTGACACCAGAAAAATGTTCACAACAGTTGTTTCCTGTGTTTAGTGGCATGCAGCTCTGTTCTAGCTCAAGCCAAAAGTCTTCTGGAAGGGAGGTTCTGAGGTGTTTATGTTATGCTTTTGATACTGGTCAGTCTTCTACGGTTTCAGAATCCGGAACTTGCTGGCATGATAAAGATTCTGTTCATAATCTTGCACAGAAGATTAGAACCACATACTTCTCTCCAGAATTATTTGGGTCTGAGGAAGGACTGACTGATATTCTTCAAAATCTCAAAACTTTTTCTGCTGCTTTAAGTGATTTGATGAATGTGCCTTCTAGTAATGATTCACCTGCTCAAAATGAAGAAAATTTTTATAGTATTTTGCATCAAATAATGGAAAAGCTTAATGGAACTGAACCTGTTTCTACTTTTGAGTTCATTGAAAGTGGAATTGTGAAATCATTGATGAATTACCTGTCTAATGGACTATATAATGGGGAACTTCATGGTGCATATTGTAATTTATCTGTTGTGGAAAAACGATTTGAGGTGCTAGCAAGACTGTTTTTATCTCCTTCAAACATTATTTCTGAAGACTTTCCTCTCTCAGTCCTGATACAGAAATTACAAAGTGCTCTGTCTTCTTTGGAAAATTTCCCTGTCATTTTAAGTCATTCATTTAGGCAGAGAAATTCATTTGCTACTGTTCCATTTGGACGCTGCATAGCACATCCATGTCTAAGAGTTCGTTTCGTGAAAGGAGATGGGGAAACATGTTTAAGTGATTTCTCTGAAGATCTTGTGACTGTTGATCCTTTCTCTTCTTTGGATGCTATTGAAGGATATTTGTGGCCTAAAGTTAGTGTGAAAGGATCCAAAGATGTACAATCAGATTGCCAAGCTATAGATCAAATGAACAGTGAATCTCTTAGTTTACCTTTAGATGCAAAGTCTATCCAAGGGGAAAGTTCAGGGCCTATGGAGCATGAAAATATGTGCGCTGATTTACCTCCTCTCAAGCATGACACAATGACCAGTGATTTGGTTGAGATGCAGGTTGTTATTGTATGGTTTATTAACCTACTTTATCTGAAAAAAAAAATTTATGTGTTGTTTATCATGGAGAGGTTGTGAATATTCTGGGCATTAATTTCTCGGTTTTGCTTTTGTGCAGGAAGATGAGGCAAATGTATCAGTGTTGGCTTCTGAACAAGCAGCAGCTTCAAAGCAATCAAGTCTGGGTGAAACATCATCATTGCATGAAAGTTGTGCTGTAAGTAGTTCTTCCCACAATATAGCTTATAATATCTTTGTTCTGTTTAATTTTGTCCAGTTACAAGCATATATACTAATCTCTGGTTGCTCCCTTTCTCTCTCATTCCTGCTAGGTTTTAAGTAACATCACCTGCTCTTATGTTGCCGCTACTCATTTTGTTTTTCAGGATTGTAACAATGATCATACTTGTAAACTTCTATTTTACATAGAAGGGAAGAAGCTAGACCGAACATTGACAGTATATCAGGCAATTCTTCAGCAGCAAATAAAATCAGATGATGAATTTATTACTGGGACAAAATTGTGGAGTCAAGTACACACAATAACTTATAGAAGAGCTGTGGAATCTCAATGTGATGATCCCCAAAAATGTCTTCATTTAGGTCAAAAGTTTTCGTTATTGGATAGAGTTGAGGCACATATGCATTTTGCTTCATTATTCTCAAGCATGTTTGCTTGTAAACTAGCTTCTGATTTGGACAAGTCAAGTCCGATTTATGATATATTGTACATGCTTAAATGTTTGGAAGTGGTGAATAGGTTTACATACCATTTGATGTCTCATGAAAGAATATTGGCATTTGCTGAAGGTAGAATTGATAACTTGGATGATCTGAAGGTGGGAGTTCGTTTGCTGCATCAGAATGAGTTTGTGAGCACTAAGTTGACAGAAAAACTAGAACAACAAATGCGGGATGCTTCATCTGTTTCAATTGGTGGTATGCCTTCATGGTGTAATCAATTGATGACTTCTTGCCCATTCTTGTTTAGTTTTGAGGCAAAATGTAAGTACTTCCGATTAGCTGCATTTGGTCCACGGCAAGTTCAACCTCATCCACCGTATAATAACTCAGTTGCAGTGAGTGAAAGGCGACAAGGTGCCAGTGGCTTGCCTCGTAAGAAGTTTTCAGTGTGCCGGAACCGGATTCTGGAGTCTGCTGCACAAATGATGGATCAGTATGCAAACCATAAAACTCTTCTTGAAGTGGAGTATGATGAAGAAGTTGGTACTGGTCTTGGTCCGACATTGGAGTTCTATACCCTTGTCAGTCATGAGTTTCAGAAATCTGGCTTGCGCATGTGGAGAGATGATCATAGTTCATTAGCCACCAGGAATAGCTTGCAGGTTGAGGATTTTGAAATAGTGATGTCTCCTTTTGGTCTTTTCCCTTGTCCATGGTCATCTGCAGTGGATACATTGGATGTGATACAATTCTCTGATGTATTGAAAAAGTATGTTCTTTTGGGTCAAGTTATTGCAAAGGCTCTTCAAGATGGACGAGTCTTGGATCTGCCTTTCGCCAGAGCCTTCTATAAGCTTATTCTTGGGAAGGTATTTTACTTTTCTCATATTTTGAATATTTTTGAACTCATGTAAATTTGGAGAAAAGGCTTACATGAGATGGTTTCACCACATCATCATGCTGATGTAGTGAGACTGTCCAATCAAAACTAAGTGGTAGTTTGTTAAAACCACCCACAATAGAAGGAATACTATGGCACAACTGCTATATCACAATTTTAATTGGGTGGTTTTACAATCTGCATGGTGCTGTGGTAATACCATATCATGCAAGTATTTCTCATGAACTTGTCATGATATATGGATTTTGATCTAGTAATTAGTACTTAGGCAAACTTCTTTCTGACAGGAACTTAGTTTGTATGACATCCAATCATTTGATCCTGAGCTTGGTAGCACACTGCTGGAGTTTCAGGCTGTGGTTAATAGAAAAAAATATTCAGAATCAATCTGTGGACAAAACTCAACATTTGATCTTGATTCATGCTTCCGGGGTACCAGGGTTGAGGATCTTTATCTTGATTTTACTCTTCCTGGGTACCCTGAATATGTTCTTACTTCTGAGGCTGATAAGAAAATGGTAAGGCTTTTCTTGATCTAATTCCATATTTTCCCCTGAGATCTGTTAGTTAATGATAGATGGCAAACTCAATTGACTTTATCTTAACATCCTTCCAGGTAAATATGACCAACTTGGGGGATTATGCAGCATTGGTTGTGGATGCTACAATACGCTCAGGAATATCCAGACAATTTGAAGCTTTTAAATCTGGTTTTTGCCAGGTATGTGTAATCGAACAGATTGTTTTCCACTTTTATTGAAATATGAATGGCCTTGATCCTTGTTCTGTTATAAATGCCATTAGAAATGATTTGGAGCCGTGTTTACCAGTATCCTTGAAAAGTATTTCATAAGTAATAACTGCATTATGTTGGTATTTCTTTCTTGAACTCTTAATATTGAACTGACCTCCCAATAGTGAACTTTTTATATTAAGATCTTGAAACAGGAACATTACCTAGTCAGTGAGAGTTAGCTTGAACTAAAAAACTGTTATTTGTTACGACAATGTCTCCTGTGCTCAAGGTGACCCCATTTGGCTGATTTATTTGTATTTTATCTGTACAGGCAAAAAATGCAGTTGTAATGTCAATACTTGCTCTATTTCTGCCATGCATTCTAGATCTTATTTTCTGATTACTGTGACTTACTTGTATGTCTTGAGAACATCACTTTTTAGTATTTATTTGAATGCAACATAGTGGAAGACAATATGAGAGAATATTGAAACCTATGGGGAAAATAAAGCAAGGGAGCCTTGGTGAGGGTTCTTCTTGTTTTTACAAGAAGCATTCTGTTGGTTTTCTTTGAGAAATTTAATGGGTAGAACAAATTTGGATTTCAATATTTATTATTATTTTTAATTTCCTGTCCAGAATGCCATTTTGATATTTTCTGTTGAGATGTTGGTATATCCGTCTTATCATGATGTTAAGTATATTTTCATTAATAATTTTCTAATGTGTGTTTGGTTTCTAGTTGACTATATTTCATTTGTTTTTTCAGGTTTTCCCTATTGAACTTCTTCAGATTTTCACGGAAGAGGAACTTGAGCGTTTACTCTGTGGAGAACGTGACTTTTTGGCTGTATGTATCTTTTCTTTATTTGATCTATTGGTGGGGAATACAGATTATCCTTACTAATTAGTGATCTTGCTTTGAAGCAGTTTAATGAGCTTTTGGATCATATCAAGTTTGATCATGGGTACACGGCTAGCAGTCCTCCCATTATTAACGTAAGTGATACTTTATATTTCTCTTCTGGTGTTTTTGTTTTTAAAATTTCATCTCAATAAATCCCAAAAATTGCTTATTTACTCTGCCGAACACCAGTTATTGGAAATTATAAAGGAGTTTGACTATGAACAACGACGAGCATTTCTTCAGTTTGTGACCGGGGCTCCTCGGCTTCCTCCTGGAGGTTTGGCATCTCTCAATCCAAAATTGACAATAGTCCGAAAGGTCTGAACTAGCAATACATATCTTTCTTGATTTCTTTTGAAGTTAAATCTAGCTATCATTTGTTCACATGTTCTTTCCCTTGTGTTTTCTACAGCACTGTGGTAACTCTGCAGATGCAGACTTACCCAGCGTGATGACTTGCGCCAATTACCTTAAGCTACCACCTTACTCCTCAAAAGTGAACTTTCTTGCCTCTTTAGCATCAATTCAATTATTCGTCTTTTTTTTTTTTTGGATTTTTTTTGCCTCTTGAAATAATGCTGTGCAAACTTTTTTGATAAAATTTGTTGTTTCGTTACAGGAGAGGATGAAAGAGAAGCTCTTGTATGCCATAACTGAAGGACAAGGGTCATTCCATCTTTCATAGACATCCATCACAGGTATATAAAATGTGAATTTTGTAATTAATAGAGATAGTTGCAGGTGGTGTAGATAAAAGGAATGGTGATAGTAGTGGGTTGCAAAAGAGGGTCTAATTATTTCAGAGCAAAGGAAGCTCCCGTTACGACTTGACTTTTGTGCGGGATTTGTATATAAGTGGGAAAATTCAAGGAAAGCTGCTGATTTACTTCTAATGGTGGATTTCAGATTATAGATAGATTGGGTTGTTCTGCTCACATTTCTTGTACAAATCTCTCTTTGTACAGATAGAATTATGGCTGCTCTGCCCTGCAGCTTAGTCTTTATGTTTATGGTTACTAAGTAGTTAATTGCAAATTTAAGGGTTCTTTTCTTTTTTGGTGTTTTGTTTTGTTTTTCAGTTCTCTGTTCTTATTCATTCTTATATGCCATTCCAGTCCAAACGTTCTTCCACAATGACATTTTATTCTCTGCTCAAATAGAGTGTACTTCATGGACTTATTATCTTTTACTTTTCTTGAAGTTTCAGGGAGTTTAACAAGACCCCATAGATGTTAGAAATCATCACTATTTCCCTTCACATTCGTGAAATTGTGACTTACCCCTTGATCATGGAATTTTGACCATATATATTGTATTCATGGGAAAGGAGGTAAGTGATGATTTTTGAAATTTGTGGGAGGTTATTATTTTCCATACTTTAGGGGTTCATTGTATTTTTTAAACATTACAGGGACGTGAAACGTATGAGTTCTTAATAAAAGAGCAATATGCGGGTGGGTCTCCACGGGGGCGGGATTGACGGGGCAGGGATTGCACAATACCCTCAACCGGTGGAGGGGAGTTTTTGGTGGACCATCCCCGACTTTTCCAGGGATTTGGGGAAAACGTCCATCCCTTTTTATGGGTTAGCATGGTATTTTCCTAGACTAGCATAAATTTTTCTGTCCTGTGATTTTTCCCTCAATTAGTGTGACTTTTCTCTCGATAAGAGTGAATTTTCTAGTCAGCATGAAAATTACACTAAATATGCCACAAGCAAATCTAATCCAAGTCAATCTAACCCTTGAACACTTCTTAAAAAATGGAATTAATCACAGGATCCATGAAAACAAGAACAAACCCATTAACAAGATTCATAAAGTTAGAGATTTTTTAAACCTTAATCCTAAACTCTTAACATTTATCCTAAGTCATAAAAAATTATATTAACAAATGCGGTTCACTCTCTCCAACAAAGAATAAGTTGAAAGTTGTAAAGTTGTAAGTAAAACTATCACTTTAATCAATCTTTACCATGATTAATGTTCAATAAGTGATTGGATTTTTAAAAGAGCAAACGACATGTTCCCACTCGAGGTTTAGGAACTCTCGAGTTCATACCCTTGGTTACATTTATTCTATATTTACATCCTTAAACTAATACTGTTAATTAATTTTAAATTTTGACTTGTGCTATTACTATCCTACTCTTCACTTTTTATTTCCCCCCAACGCAGCCACCATCACCATCTAGCCACCAGCACCACCCAGCCGCTGGCGTTGTCAACCTTGTTTCGGCTGGTTTTTCAACCAAAATCACCTCCAACCTCTTGCTTGTAACCCCTACACCAAAACCCAACAAACCCCTTCACCGTTGCACCCTCTCATTGCCGGAAAATGACCTCCTTGGCATTTGCGTTTTCACCCAACTTTGTGGCCAAATTCCTGCGATTCCCTCATTGAAAATTCACCCCGAAGCCACCAATCGAAACCCCTTCATTGCCTTTACAAAACCCACCCTCTCATCGGTCGTCGTCAATCACCACTTGCTACCCAAGTTCCATTCCGACTGCCATGCGACAACTTTTTTTGCGCTGTTTTTCCACTGTTTTCTACCTTTTTGACTTCCCATCCTCCTCTTTGTTTCTTTGTTGTGCATTCTTTAGCCACCAATTATCATCCACCTGCCCAAAATCTCCATTCAAAGTTGATACCACTAGAAACGGGAAAAAAAAAAAAAAAACTTAAGGAATTAAAGAAGGAATAAAAAAAGTCGAGATCTATGTACAACAGATCACACCTACCAAGAAAAAAGTATTTTGTTTTGGTTCGACCTGTATTCCCATATGAAATAGGGGACGATATAAATTTTACAAAACTCTTCCCCCAGGATCTTACTAAAACAATATGCATCTCTAGCTATGACGTTCATTGTAGCTAAAAGTATGAATTTGCATAGCTAAATGGTTTAGCTACAAATGCAATGTTTTGTAGTTTATCGTAGCTAAAAGTGACGCAGCTAAAAGTTAGCCATGTAACTTTTTGCTTACCTAGCCAACAGTTTATATTTTTTGTTATGGATGAGATTAATATGTAACAAAAAAACTTAAATGTTTTTGCCATAACAATAATATGTTTGTAGCAAAAGCTTTGCCTTTATAGCCATGGCAAATAGGTTGTATAGTTATGTTTGCATTTTAGTTACACAAATATAAATTTATAACTAAAACTTGAAAATTATATCCTTTTTGGAAATGGCAAACCATCAGCTATTTGAATATTTGAGGAAATTCCTCAACCAGCTGCCCAGCCAAGCACATGCCGTTTTTTGCTTATGGGTGGGTGCAACGGTGAAGGGGTTTGGTGGGTTTTGGTGTAGGGGTTATAAGGAAGAGGTTGAAGGTGATTTTGGGTGAAAAACTAGTTACAACAAGGTTGAAAACGCCGACAACTAGGTGGTGGTGGTGGCTGGATGGTGATAGTGATGGTGGCTCATGACTATGTGGGTGGAAATAAAAAGTGAATGGTAGGATGGTAATAACACAAGTTAGAGTTCAAAATTAATTGACAGTGTTAGTTTAAGGATATGAATCTGAAATAAATGCAACTAGGGATATAAACTCAAGATTTCACTAAACCTTAGGTGGGAACATGTCGTTTGCTCTTTTTAAAATTCAAAACTGCTCCAAAGAAAATTTTGTTGAAAAAGAGAGAAAAGTGATGAAATGTTAGGTTTTATACAGCGTTCTAAAAATCGGACCAGACTGGCCAGTCAGACTAGGACTTGGTAGCCTGTCTGGTCCAATCGGGATTATAAGGGTGTTTTTGCTATATTTCAAACCTTTAGAGACTAGCTTGTAATTTTCTAAGAGTGTTTTTGTTAGATTTCAAACTTATATGAGCTACTTGAATTTTTAAGGGAGTTTTTTTCAAATGTTAAGGGACTAATAAATTTTACATGGGGGTCGGATCGGTCAACTTGGGAACCGGGCCCTTGACTGGGTGAAGGCCTGATCCGGTTTTCAAAACATTAGTTCTATATTAGGGTACAATTGGAAAGTTGTCATTTGGTGGTTATATCATATAAGGGGATAGGGTTGGGAGAGTTGGTTAATTATTATTTGGATAAATTAAGTAACCCCTAAAATATTGTATAATAATTTGAAAACAGGAAAAATAATAATAATAAATAATAGAATCTAGTATTGACGTAGTGACATTCCTTTCCACCCAGCGAACCTGAAACTATCTTCTTTCATTCTTCCCTCGCATTATCTCTTTAGTCTTCTCGCTATCGCTATGCAAATCAAACTAAACTAAGCTAAGCTTTAAGTTAAGCTGTGCCCTTTTCTCTTTCTTTATGAACTTAACACTTCCATCATCTTCTGCTTCATCTTCATCTTCTCCAATCTCTAATCCTTTTCCCATTACACACACTCTTCCTCTCCACTGGGTCTCTTCACCTCCTCACCCTTCCTCTATCACAACCTCAAAACCCAGTCGCCCCTTTCGCCTCCAAACCACCAACTCCACAAGCACTGACCTCTCTCTGTCTAATCCCTCCAGTAATTCTCCATCTCCATCCAATAATTTCAATGATGACCAGGCCCTCCTAACTCTCCTCCGCCAAAGGAAAACTGAAGAAGCTTGGATTAAATACACCCAATCTACTCACCTTCCCAACCCCACTTGCCTTAGCCGCTTGGTCTCTCAACTCTCCTATCAAAACTCAATTTTAAGCCTCTCACGCGCCCAGTCCATCGTCACGCGCCTCCGCCATGAGCGTCTGCTGCACCGTCTGGATGCCAACTCCCTCGGCCTTCTCGCCGTCGCCGCCGCCAAATCTGGACACACCCTCTACGCCTCGTCCATTATCAAGTCCATGCTCCGCTCCAGCTACCTTCCTCATGTCAAGGCATGGAGCGCCGTTGTCAGCCGCCTCGCCGCCTCCGCGGACGACGGCCCTACTGAGGCAATCAAGCTCTTTGACTCAGTGGTTCGTCGGGTCCGCAAATTTTCGGACCCCACAATTGTTTCTGACTCACGGCCCGACACGGCAGCCTACAATGCTGTGTTGAATGCTTGTGCAAATTTAGGTAATACTAAAAAATTCTTGCAATTGTTTAATAGGATGAGTGAATTTGGTTCTGAGCCTGATGTTTTGACCTATAATGTTATGATTAAGTTGTGCGCTAGAGCTGGTAGGAAAAATTTGCTTGTGTTTGTGTTGGAGAGAATTCTTGAAATGGAAATTCCTTTGTGTATGACTACATTGCATTCGCTTGTGGCGGCGTATGTTGGGTTTGGTGATTTAGAAATGGCTGAGAATATGGTTCAAGCTATGAGAGAAGGGAGGAGAGACTTGTGCAGGATTCTTAGGGACTTGAATTTCGATGACTTGAGTGAAGATTCAAGGGGAAATGAAGGAGATGAAGATGTGTTCGAAAAGTTGCTTCCTAATTCGATTAGTCCGAGCAGTGAGCCACCATTGTTGTCTAAAGTTTATGCTCCTAACTCGAGAATTTACACGACTCTGATGAAGGGTTACATGAATGAAGGTCGTGTGTCTGACACAGTGAGAATGTTAGAGGCAATGAGACAGCAGGATGATAGTGCCAGTCATCCTGATCATGTTACATACACAACTGTTGTTTCTGCTCTTGTGAAGGCCGGGTCAATGGACAGGGCTCGGCAAGTGCTTGCTGAAATGACAAGAATTAGTGTGCCTGCAAATCGAATTACTTATAATATTCTTCTCAAGGGTTATTGTCGACAGTTGCAGATTGACAAAGCAAAGGAACTGCTCCGGGAGATGTCTGATGATTCAGGGATTGAGCCTGATGTTGTTTCATATAATATTTTGATTGATGGATGTATACTGATTGATGATAGTGCAGGGGCCCTTGTATTATTCAATGAGATGAGAGCAAAAGGGATTGCTCCCACTAAGGTCAGCTATACCACATTGATGAAAGCTTTTGCCTTGTCGGGTCAACCTAAACTGGCAAGGAAGGTGTTTGATGAGATGGTTAAAGACCCGCGAGTGAAAGTTGATTTAGTTGCTTGGAATATGTTAATCGAAGGACATTGTAGAATGGGATTCATTGAAGAAGCGAAGAGACTTGTTCAAAGAATGAAAGAGGATGGTTTCTACCCTAATGTGGCAACATACGGCAGCCTTGCAAACGGGATTTCACTGGCTAGAAAACCAGGAGAAGCACTTTTGCTTTGGAAAGAAGTAAAAGAAAGGTGTGAGGTGAAAAAGGAAGGCATGAAATCAGATTCTGATTCACTGCCACCGTTGAAACCTGATGAGGGACTGTTAGATGCTCTAGCTGATGTATGTGTGAGGGCTGCCTTCTTTAAGAAAGCTTTAGAAATTATAGCATGCATGGAAGAGAATGGGATACCTCCAAATAAAACAAAGTATAAGAAAATTTATGTGGAAATGCATTCAAGAATGTTTACCAGTAAGCATGCCTCACAGGCCAGGCAGGACAGGAGAAAGGAGAGGAAGAGAGCCGCTGAGGCTTTCAAGTTTTGGTTGGGTTTACCTAATTCTTATTATGGAAGTGAATGGCGACTAGAACCTACAGAAGAAGATGATTACTTAGAAGATGATTCTGTGTAATTCAGTACATTACTGTATACTACATTACTTGAATTTGAAAAAACAAGTTTTAATGTATCCATAGAATTTGAACCAAATGTCATATGTTCTGGTTTTAGTCGTCATAAACAATAGTATCCAAATCCATCCAAATATTTCTGGATCTGTATGCAAATGACTAATATATTATTTTGTCAAAATGGATCGACTACTCTGTAATTCTTCTGGACTGAGCATGAACATTATCGATATTGAGCTGATCCTAACTATAGCAAAGTGTTGATAACAAAGAAATTGCGCCAATAGACCTTTGAAAGTTGAGTGTTTAAATTCATCCAATATCACTAGATATACAATTATGTACAGATGAATCTGTTATACACGATGGCATAAAACTGTCAAAAGGTCTGCATTTTGGCATTGGATGAACCGAAACCCGGTAATCTAGCAGCATCTGAAGTATTGTTACAGAGCATGAGAACACGGAAGAGAAGAGGGAAAAAAACCTGCCCGGCTGCCCCCTAATGTTGCACACATTCAGCCTCTTGACCTTAATGGTTGACTCCGTGAATAGGATGATGATAGTACCTGCATAAGAATAGCACCATCAATAAAAGTAGCAAGAGCTCGAGGTATCCTGTCAATATAACGTTGGATGTTATCAGAAATTCAGAATCACACCCATCTCTGGGTGAATGACAGTGAATTTTATTACTAAAGTTTTCAAACAACACTATTACCTCAACATATTAAAAAAAAAAAAAAGTTAATTGAGCATGAAGCAATCTGAACATTCAAAAGCTAGTGGGTCAGAAGCCAATGGCACCACATTGGCATGATGGAATGGTATCGGAGGGAAAAGATGAAGCTCAGGAAAAGGTTACTATTGAAGATCTTGCTGTCTTGTCAACTATAATTCAATTTTTTTTTTTCTTTCTAATCTCATTTATACCATTACCAATAATGAATCTTTTTGTAATCTGAAATCCATTGTTTGATGACATGTCTGGAGTTCGCTAAGAGCCTAAGAGTTAATGATATTACAGTACCTGATATGTCTTTGGCCCCTTCTTGAGTAGATAACCAACAGTGTTTAAGTTATCCACAAATGTATCAATGTCTGGAACTCTAAGGCCAATCCTATCTGCCAAACTGTATATTTCCTGCAATACAAGAAGTAACTTTGATTGTAAGGGAAAAACTTTTTGCTTCTAGAAATGATAGATAACGAAAGGAAGCATACGGAGATCGAAAAGCAATCTTTCTGCTGCAACTCTGATTGCTTATTAAGGGCACTTAAAAACCGTTTTGCTTCTTTCTGTTGGCTCATTCCCCCACTCCGACCAAAATCCACAAAACCATGCTCATCAACATACTTATCATACAGGGATTCTTTCATAATTTCAACCACCTCCTGCAAAGATGGTCAAACAAAAGAGATGTTTATTTGTTTTAAGCTTCAACAGAAATTTTAGGTATTGTTAATTTGTTCAACTAACGGCTTCGATTGGTACTTGTTATCCAAAACCTTGAAGTACAATAGTGATTCTTGAGCATATTCTTCTGTCGCATTACATCTAAAAATGGTAAATCTTTTTTTTTTTTTTTCAGCTTTATAAGTTTAATATGTAAGTTCCTGATCGTTCCTGAATTAATATTTTCGTATTTCACCAGAGCAAATAGAACTTTAGTGCTTGAATTATTTTGTTAAAAGGTTAATTCAAATTCAATCCACAGACTTACTCTTTGTAAAGAAGTTAATCATAAAAGATGTAAGGACAGACGTATCATCGATCATCATTCAGGTATGACAAATATTGGCTGACCATTATCTGACCAAATTAACTTACCATTGCATCTTGTGCTGTTATTTCTTCTCTTAAGTCTAGCTTTGCTCGGGCTTCTGCCAGCCTCACCAGACTTTCAAGTTGCCTTGCTGTTATAGGTGTACTATCAGCAGATGTATTATGGTCTCTCAGTTTTAAGTAAAACTTCTGTAGGATTTCTGCTGCTGGTCGTGACATTCTGATACCAAATAAATAAATTACCAGAGTAAACATTTGCATTATAGTTCAAGGTAATTGCAGCATGTAGAGGTCATATCAAATCACCTAGGGAAGACAAACGTTCTTGCATAAGCAATATATTTGCGAAGAAGTGGAGCAGGTAGTGGAACAAAATTACCATCCTTCCTTGGGTCAAGTCTTAGTCTTGAAACTAGAGAACCACCTTTTACACTTATATCTACCCCATCAGTACTCTCTGATGCTGCATTTCTTAAATAGAAGGCAATCATGTTGAAGTCCTATCGTCACCCAAGATTAAAGCAAAAACAATCTCGAAGCTGAATTTTGTTAAGTCAATACACCACCTGTTCTTAACTTTTTGGCTGCTGGAGAATGTTGTTGATATCCAGAATGAAGCTGCAAGAGATAAACCAAGTCAGTTGTACTTCTCAAATTATGTTCCAATTGCCAAACATGATCAAAAGTTTGTATTTGAGCTAATGGAGACATTAGCATGTTAACAACTGGCCAAAGTTTACAAGCTCTTGAAAAGAATTTGCTATCATTTCTTGATGGTGTTGATATACTATATTATTTCTGCACCAGTATAAAGCATCCAGACTAGAAAACTTACTGACATGATGTGATCTGAGACTCTCTTGTCCAGTAGTTCATCAGGTTTATCGAGTAATATGAAAGCTAAATCAAATCGTGAGAGGAGAGCAGCACTCATTTTCAAATTTTCATTCACTGTTTTTGCTCGGCTGAAATTTGAATAGATAATATTAATTGTTACAACCTACATAATAAAAACAAGTGTAATATACAGGAACCACTGCAAAAACGTCTTTCACTAGACAACATGAGCTTAATATGTTTCTTAAACAGAAGTTAGTCAAGTTGCAGTTCATCCATGAAAACTCATATTGCTAATGTAGTTACAAAAGAGAGAGAGAAAAATTAGCATGCTATATTCTCAGTTTTAAGGGAAACATGGAGGAAATACTGGTTAACAATTCAGGGAACCGGTCAGTGCTGATAAGAGCACATTTAATTATTGTCCTAAGGAAAAACAATCTAAATGCATCCATTATCAGCTTATGAGAGTTTTCTATGAAAATATGAAGTGATAAATAGAATTTCTAAAAGAATACTTATAATGACCACCAACAGGGTTAGCTGCTGCCAAGACAGAAGTTCGTGCTGATAAACTGGCCACAAGTCCTGCTTTTGCAACAGAGACACACTGTTGTTCCATGGCTTCTAGTAAGGCCTGCGCTAATAGCAATAAGGCAATGAAGTAAAAATATATCCTCAATACTTGAAGATCAGTATAGTTTGTACGAATTCAGGTCAAACCTGGTGTTCTGCGGACATTTTATCAAACTCATCAATACAGCATAATCCACTGTCAGCAAGTACCATAGCACCTATGAACTTGAATTGTCACAAACAAGAGTAAACGTGGAAATTTATGATGAAGAGATGATATAAAAACCTTAGTCCGTTATGTAGATCAAAACGATTTTGATTGTTCAGTTTTTTATTGCAAATAAACAATGTCTATGCTGCACAGTTGATAAAACTTTAGTATGTCATGTAGGCTCAGTTTTCTATGTTTGGCAAAAGATTTTTGGAATCAACTGGTTTTAGGCTCATCACAATTAACAAATCATGAGGATCATAATTCTCTTCACAGCTTGGTAAGGCAATAGATAAGACCAGAACCAAATGTCCATATCTTTCTCACCTCTCATGTTGAAAGAGCTGAAATTATTTGTGAAAATTCTTTGGCTGCTTCAGAGTTCAGACCAGTTACTGTTGAAGTTATCATCTTATACATGGGTTTTATGGTTCTAACAGTTCACCTTTTACAGAATGAATCAAATCTAAGATTTTTATATATTATCATATAAGAGATCAACACATCATGATTTTCTCAATAGCTCCAAATTTTTTTAATTAAGAGTTCGCCCTTCAAGAAGTTAGGATCAGATGTAAACTAACATGCTTCCAGAAAGTTAGTGTCCTAAAGTCCATTACTATCACTGGTCAATATACAAGATCAAGATACTTAAATGAATATGACCTTTTGAAAGACAACTGAAAGATATTCAAAGTGGAATTTGAAAACCAACACATACAGGTGTCCAATCATAAAATAAACCTAAAATTTCTGATGGACAGGAAAAACACTGCACTCATAATTTATTATACAAAGCTAGTCCATGACCTTTGGAACACATTATGTTATTTCGCTAGATAGTCTGTAGATAACTAAGATAGCCAAAGTATCACATGGTGAAATAACACAGAAGTAGACCCTTACCAGCCTCAAAGGCATAGTCACTTGTCATGGAATCCTTCACTACAGCTACAGTGAGGCCAGCCTTGGTTGTGGCATTACCACACACATATATTCCACGAGGAGAAACAGCAGCTGCAGCTTGCAGTAGTTGGCTCTTGCCGAGTCCAGGATCACCTAGCAAAATGACAATAATTAATGATCAAGCCAATGTCTTTACCATTTTAGAAATGTGCACAATAACCTAGAATTCAGCGATGTTTTTCATGTTACATCATTTCCATTCTCATGTATATGTGAGACAAAATAGTTTAACAGCTTTAGTATTATTACAAAGCAACCGAAGATATTAAGCATACCAACAATTATGACATGGATGTCTCCTCTGACAGGGACCTTGTTTCTGTCTGTTGAATATTTTCGTACACCACCAAACAGTGCTAATGTTATTCCCGCTGTCAAGAGAAAAAAAAAAATTGATAAATGCACCATTCTATTATGAACTCTAGATACCTTGCTCGATAAGAAATATTGATAAGTTACAAATCATTACATCATGCTACTTGGCAACAGATTCATGCCAAACATTACTATATATGACCAGCCCATAACAGTGAGGAAAGCTAGTATAGGGCCAATACAACAGAATTTCATATACTAAACTTGAACGATTGTCCAAATGTATATATTATCACCTATTTTAGCGAATAGAGTCAGTAAATGCTCTTATTAAATCCATGGGCAACTAAAATGAGGGGTTTTAGATGGGAATTTCATGCTGCAAAATAAAACATTATTCATTTCCCAAGGAAGCAGAACATCATAGTGAAGCCAAACTATAAAAATTAATAAAATAGAAGAAATAACAGGAAAAAAAATAAAACCAATACTGGCAAATAAAGAAAAAGGATTCCAACTATTGGGAGGAAACAGTGCTCATAAAAGTACACCTTTAACAAGTTCATGTCCATAGATAGATGGGCAAATAGATTGAACAAGTTGTCGGAAGATATCAGAACCATATTCCTCCGAAAACTTCACAATAAATTCCAGATCCCTTGGAGAGAATAAGAACAAATCAGCCAGCTCCAAAGCTCTAGCATTAGAATTAGAATCTTGCAAATCCTTGGCATTAGACTGTGACTTGGAATTTTTAATGGAAACTGCTTCAAGATACAAATAGTAGAATCCCTGATTTTTGCTTTTTGATTTACCTGAAATTTATCAAAGTTTCCTTGAGCTTCCTTAGTGACCGGAAATAGTTTAAGAAACGCATATTAGGCATACTATTATTTAACATGCAGGAAAAATTATTAACAAAAACCAACACATTACTGCATTTAGGAGAAGGTTATGTATGTACCATATAGAATCTCATAAATAGCAACCACAAGTTAAATCTAATTACCTGAGAAGTGAGAGTGCCTTGTTAATTTTTAACATCATAGAATATTTGAATACAAAGCATATATTTATTCAAAAAAGTATAGGCCGGCAGTGTTATATTCTTGTGATGGGAATCTCATGAAATAGCTCTGGTTGCTGAGGTGGCACTCATTCTAGGTTGTATCATGTGACCAAGATTATGAACTACTTATATTGCATTGTAAATATTCTGACTAAACATTTGAATTCAAATGTCCTGGAACTTTAAATGCATACAAACTAAAAGTATCCATAATGATCATGCAAAAAATCGTGATATGTAAAAAATGCATACAAGTGCAAAAGAAACCCCTTTAATATACCTCCTCCAATGTCCATGTAATTGTTAATTACTCTTATAATTCCAGTAACAGTCACAACATCTCCAGGGATGCAGGCATCAACAAGATCTTCAGACAGTTCACATTCTACAGTACGAGGCACTCGACCTTCTTCATGATCTTCGGGTTTTAGCAACTCCTGCAGTCTGAAGAAGTAGAAAAAATAATAATAAAACTAATAATAAAATAAAAACACTGAAAATTTTCCTGCATAAGGTCTGTGAATATCAAAATAGCCCAAAATTTATGTGTAAGGTGTTAGTGTGTAAAAGGCACTAACCTTATTTTCTGAAAATCTATTTTTTGAGCAGAAGAGCGAACTGGAGTGAAGGTTCTACTTTTGCACCCATGTAAAGTACAACTCATTGGAGGTGAAAATTTTCCCTCAGGAAATACACGTGGAATGTTGGATTTGCACTTTGAACATTCAAAACACATTTGTATCACCAAAGGCCTCACAGTGCTAGCTTTTACTACCGATCCACGGACAGATACAAGCTTGTCTGTCATTTCACCAGATAACACATCAGCTATGAAATTCTTCAACATAACCATTGTTTATTACTTCATGTGAATATAAACAAAATTTACCAATATATGCTGCTTTCAAATTCTTCAAAGCAATCACTGACTCAGGGTAGTTATGAAGACGGATGTTTATCTTCATTTCATCTTCCAATTGGTTCTCCCATTTGGTTAACAGAACCTACTTTAAATACAAGCAATTAAAATATTATCAAATATCCTTTGACCTCCTTCTAATGTTTGACTTAATTACAGAACGACCCGTTACATTGAAAATACAGACCAAAAGAAACCCTCCATTGGAAATTGAAAATCTTCATGAATCCCTCGAAATTCATCAAAGACCCCTTTTGTAAAATTAATTCTACCTAATTTTCAAACTAGTTGTCCACTGTAATTAAGCCAAATAGATTAACCAATAAACAAATGCTGAAAATTTAATAATTTCTGCTATAATTGCTTGTACCTTGTGAACTGCAGTACTCATACACAGAAGAGCCACCTTAGGTTTATCCTCTAAAGCAGCATAAAAGGCCTCAGCGTCGCATATTTTTCGAAAATTTTGAAAATCAAGCCATAAAACGAACACGCCGCTGTCATCCTTTACCTGCTCTCTGACAAAAATTAAGTCTATACCCAACAAAAGCTGAATCAAAATAGGTGATAAAGCAAAAATCGTGTGATAGGTGGACCTGAAATGCTAGATCTAAGCCTGGAGGACTGGAGAAGAAGCCAATGAGATCGAATGTGAGCATCAACCTATCGTCGTCGATTGAAAACTCGTTGTCGGGAAAGTATATGGCCAAGATTTCGCCGATGTCGCTTGTGTCAACTGAGCGCAGCTTGCTCTTCGCGCCATCACCATGCGTTCCGAACATCGTTATCGGGTACTGACTCACTGAGTGCTGTTTCTGTTTTGGCGGGAGAAAAATTGTGAGCGAGAAGATGTAGGGAGTTGTTTTGCTAAATTCTAGTGTGTATGGGTCGGGTCGGAATATTTCTTTAAAACTTAAATCCTGGCCTCCCTTCAAAATTTAAATTTATCTAATAATGTTCGTATTTTTTTAATTATGAAATATTTCAAAAAAAAAAAAACTGACTTTATTAAGTAGTCTAAAAAATCGTTTGAAATTTTAAAAAATAAAAAAGATTTGTAAATTTTATTTTAACAAAAAAAAACCTCTTGTTGATGTGTGATTTTTACACCAACGAAACACACGTGTGAAATGTTGAGCTGGCCCAAAAAGACACACATGAATGTAAAGAAAAATGACAGTAAATGCAATGGTGATAGTTTTTAAAGTGGTTCGGATGCTAAGGTAGCAAATCCTATATCCACTGATGCTTATATTGATGAGAAGGGTCAGGTCGTTTTAACTGACTGACTTTACAATGGTAATACAAGGTATCAAATACTGAAAATTCTAAAGAGAGAGAGAGAGAGTAGCTAATCAAATGTAAAATATGCGAATCCCCTTAATGAAGGAGGAGCTCTCAATTTATAGTGAGATGCCTAAAACTAATGATTATTGAATCTGCAAGTTGGTGAGATTATCCGTGCAAATCCTTCTTTATGTCACATTGCCCACCTTCCAGAGTGATTTGCGCGATTTAGAGTAGGGATTAGACACGTGGGATCATCACAGCTTCTGGCTGGTCTGACTCACACCCACTACTCTAACGAAAGCAGGCAGCAGGTGTACCCATGATCTGACTTTTGGATGCTGACTGAACCTTACGTCAGCCCTTATATTTTTTAGGCCTAACAGAAGTCCTCTAGTTTTTAAGGTTTGAGGATCAAACCTTGGAAACTATAAGTCATGCCGCGATTGGATGATTTCTGGAGATTCTGGTGATTCTGACCTGTTTGAAAGTAGGTCGGGATGACACTTTTTGCGAACACGACCTCGCATGATCATTGTTCGCAGAGGATGAGCGACCTGATTTTGTCAGGCGTTACTTGTTGTGCTTTAGGGATGGATGCATTTAATGAAGCAGTCTCTGCGCTGACAAATGCGTCCTGCAGGTGATAAATGCCAGCCAGGCGCTTTAAATGCGTTGTACGCCGACACAGTACACTTTATCAGAACATTAAATGCATGGCATGCTGGAATAACGCCCTTTACCAGAGCATTAAACGCAGATTGAGGGGCAATTAATGCTCTGAGAGAGAGATGACCGTCGTTTAAGCTTTTCAACGGGAAAGATGAAGGTTTGACTTTCTCCAATCGTGATGCTCACTCTTCCCCGCTGATGTGCGACACGTGGCCATGATCAACGGTGAGAAATTTTTTGCCACCCAAATGTCGTTTTGATTCTGAGAGAAACTAACGTCGGTACATGCACTATAAAAGCTCAAATCTTTCTCAGGCAATGTCACCAGTCTTTTTCACAGAGAGCAAGAGATTTTCGCGAGCTTGAAACCTTTGTCTTCCAAACCAGCGTCTTTCCCATATTCGAAGTAGAAGCCATCTTTGTACTCCGAGAGGTTAAAACCTTTTTTTTTTTTTTTTTTTCCTTATTTTCCATGGTTAAGTGGCGTCAGTCCGCCGGTAACCCATCGGAGACGAGATGCTTATGTCAGGTTCGAGCCATGTATGGCAACTCGAATCATGCTGTTATGGTTTCTTTGGGATTTAGGGAGTTTGTTTCCCTCCACGTCATCATACGAAATAGCGTACGACAGCTAAATGACCCTCGTGTTTGTCGCTTTAGCAAACTAGCAGAATGGACCCCTCAACAACTAGATTCGAACAGGGAACCGGTTCGTCCCCACAGGGTGCTCCGAGTATCCCTCCCAAGGTCTTCTCGGTACTTACAGAGGATGAGCTCGAGAAGGTAATAAAACAGTACGGTATCGAGGTGGACGTTTTCCTCGACGTGGCACACTCATCGCGTTACCCGTTAAGTGGTCTGGCCGCGATCTCCGAGGAGATCATCAAGGGCGGGGGATTGATCCCCCTACACCCTTTTATCAGGTCACTTTTGGACCACTTCGGGATAGCGCCGATGCAGCTCACTCCAAACGTGTATGTGATTGCTGTCGCAATGTACATTGCGTGTCGTGAGAATGGGCTAGGCGAACTGACGGCTGTGGAGCTCGGCTGCTCGTATTTTTTGATAAAGAGCAAGGACAAAGATTCTTATTATTTGTCCAGACGACCTACCATAGCCGATGGGATACATAGCTAACCTAGTAACGCGGGGGCCTACGAAACGAAGTTTTTCTTCTTTCGTTACGACGGCCATTACCGTTTTCAGGAACCGAGTATGTTCTTTTCCCTTTGCAAACTCATTAAATTTGGAATGTGTTTTTTTTCTAACGACCTAATTCCTTTTTGACAGTTAACAAGACGATCGACTTATGGCTACTCTTCGATCCGACTAGGATCGTGAATTTCGGCTTCCTGCCCGAGGACAGACTCGACGTGAAGAAGCTCGTGACGACCGCGAATCTGCGGAAATACGGGTTCTTCAATGCAAACGCGTCTCTAGAGTCCCCATTGAGTAAGTCTTGCTAACTGGTTCTTTTCTGGTCGTGAAATGAAACACTTGCTAACGATGCTTGCATGCAGCGACCATGCCTCCGAAGGAGTCAGAGCAGCCACGACGAAGGCCGCTTAATTTTCCTCGGTCAAGAAAAGCCAAGGTGATCGACGCTGCTCCGACCGTTCCCCTGGCTGAAGGTGCAACATCGGGCCTACCGGTGCGATCTGTTGGAACTTCTCAGCCCCAACCGTCAGAGGACGCGCCAATCCGAACCACAAAGGTCTCCCAACCGTTGCCTGCTCGCCCGAGGCTAAAGACAATGGCTCAGCGAAAGAGGAGGCAGATTCAGGTCGAATAGTCAGAGACCAAATCTGATGGTGATCAACCCAAGAGGTCGCGGTCGGACGCGAGGAGGTCGGGTAAGGAACCGATGGACACGACCATTGTCGAAGGCACGAAGAATGATACTCCTCTACTGGACTCGCTGGGGAACCTGTCGGAGTACCTGCAGCCGATAGTCTACACCTTACTGGAATGCGGACTCTCGGAATCATTTGAGCAGTTCGCAGATTCCAACGACGTGGACCTAATGTCCACATCGATCCAACATTTAAGCAAGGCGAACGAACTGTCCTCGGCGAGGACTACCCTTAGCTCCTTTTGATTAGCTAACTCTTTCTTTGTTCGCAGGTCCTGCTTTCCATGCGAATATCCCTGGAGAAGGTTCAACTGGGAGCCGCAAAGGGGGAGGTCGCTCTGAAGGAAGAGAACTCAATGCTCAAGTGAAGCTTGGAAGCTATCGAAACAGAGAGAAACTTGTCTTTTGAGTTGATGAATTGGTACCTGAACGAAAGAGACGCGACTCTTTGAACAGTGGACTTCCAAAAAGCGGAGCTTGAGCAGCATGCAAAGGAAACAAAAGAGCTTCAAATGACCATAGCCAGGCTCTCCAAGGAGGTCGGAGAGAAGGACCAGGAGCTCAAAGCGACCTGTTTGTGGGCTTTGCGAACAGAACAAGAGAGGGATGCCTCCGAGAAGCAAAGGCAAGCTCTCGAGGTTGAACTTTAGGCAAGTCAGGGAAAAGTTGCTTCCTTGACCGAAGAGATGCAGAATCAGGCAGTAGAGGTCAAGGAGAAGGTTGCCAATTGGGCAATCAAGTCTATATATGCCTTGTGATTGAAGAATCCGCGACTTGATATGTCCGACCTTCCAGAGGACTGGCAGGATACCCTCATGTCCATGGCGCAGGAGGATGACGAAGCGACGGCTGCCCGAGCATCTGATCAGACAGGAGTTTCGGGACATGCCTCGAAGAAACCCTCAGCTCACCAGCCCTAGGATGGTGAGGTCGATCCTCTAAGAGCCAGATTAGGGAGTATAGTCGTGCCATTTTGCCTGTTGTACTCTCCTCATTAATGAAATACCTTTTTGCTTTTACAACTTCTGTTCGCTTTATTATTCATGAGTACATTCTGATCGCTTACATTATTAGAACAAGTGTGATAACATAACACATTTACACGAACAAGATTACATGCGAAGATTATTATAAGCGCACAAAATAACACTTTACAAGGAAATGATTTACAAAAATCAGAAATTAATTTACAAGGAAAACTGAGTTCAGAATTATTGATAGTATGGTCGAAGGTGCTCAGCATTCCAAGCTCGGGGTACTTTGGAACCTTTCAGCCTTTTGAGATGACAAGTCTCCGGTCTTATCACTTTGTCGATACGGTATAGACCTTCCTAGTTCGGTCCTAACACTCCCGCACTTGGTTCCCTGGTACCGAGAAGGACTTCCTTTAACACAAGGTCGCCGACCTAGAAGTCTTTTCGTCTGACCTTTAAATCAAAGAACCGCTTTGCGCGTTGCTGGTAGGCTGTTATCCTTAGCGAAGCCTTGCTGCGATGTTCTTCAACAAGGTCTAGGCTTGCTCTCATAAATGCTTCGTTGTCAGCCTCATTGTACAAGTCCCTCCAAAGTGAATCAGTTCCTACCTCTACAAGGATCATTGCTTCGCATCCGTATGCTAGCGAAAAAGGTGTTTCTAAGTTGGAGGTTCTTGGAGTTGTTATGTACGTCCATAGGACTTCGGGGAGGTCGTCAGCCCAATTCCCTTTGGCTGCGCCAAGTTTGGCCTTTAGAGTGCGCTTGATGGTTTTGTTGACAGCTTCAATTTGGCCATTTGCTTGTGGCCTTGCGATTGAGGCGAATTTTTTATGGATGCCTAGCTCGTCGCAAAACTGCTTGAATTCCTCGTTGTCAAACTGTTTCCCATTATCCAAGATGAGGGTATGAGGAATTCCGTAGCGGCACACAATATTCTTGAAAACGAAGTCTTTAAGCTTTTTGGTTGTGATCGTGGCTAGCGGCTCGGCTTCCACCCATTTGGTGAATTAATCTACCACGACCACGACATATTTGACTCCCCCTTTACCGACTAGCATGGGACCGATGAGAT